AAATTTCTTCTGTTTGATCATCTTCATCTATACTAGATTTTTTATTAATTAGTACGACTGTTGATTATTGGGATGTAGGGGAGCCCTAGATTGGGTTTGTGATTTGCTTATAGATCCGTTCTTCCTAAATCCTTTATTTTTTTTAATTTTTTATGTAGTTAGGGTTGTTCTGATTTTATCAGCTATAGCTTTTCATTGTTTCCTTTGAATATATCTAATCTTGGGTGCCCAAGTTCTAAGTCTTGTATCATAAAAGATTGTGCACACAGGAGGAAGCTAGCAAAGAAGAGCTGCTCTAAACACATCATTTGATTTGAGGTGGGTCAAATACTCAAAAAGGGGATTAGAATGGTCAGACGCAGAGCTGATTAAAATGATGGCCAACTCCATCTCCATCAACTGTACCTCTTCAAGTTTGAACATCCTTCTCTTCTCTTCTGCAACATTAATCTTATCCCTTGATTCTCTTAATTTGTTGTGTAAAAATGAATGATGCTGATTGTGAGAGTTAATCTTATCCATTACAGTGATCATCATGGCATGCATGCCTCCTCCTCCTCCACTCCACACCATTGTGTTTGTTTAGTCAGTAATTTAAGTTTTAATTATGGTTTGGTGGGCCAAGCGTCTTTTAATTATGCGATGAGAGGAGCAGGCCAGTCAGCCCTACCAGTGTCCTGTCCAGTATCACTTAAGAGAAGAGAAGGGATACGTTTCCTCTATGCTCTCTCCAGTCTCCTCCTCCTTGATCTTGTAGCCATTTACGTAGCCACGTAGGATTATGATAGAACGACAGTGACTGACAACATTAATGCCAATAAATATATACAATATATGCACAAGCATTACCCACCCACACCTCCACCCCTATGTGGCGCGTAAAAGGACCACCTCTATAATTAATTTTGATTGTTGAATTTACAGGATGCAGAATTTCAAATGTTACTACGTATGTATGCACTTGAAGATTAGTGTTTTGCTTTTGTGAGGGACGGGCACTCTGAAAGCTAGGGGTCGCTTTCCGCTGTGTGGTGGGGCGGTGACCGCGATGCTTTGCTGGGTGGCAAGATCCCTCACTCAACTCATTCACAGGTTACACGACGACGGGATTCATTCAGTCAATATTCCTTGATTTTATTCAAAGCACTAATCTTTCTTATCTTTGACCTTTATATATATTCAACGCTAACATTATTAACACTAGTATATGCATACGAATTATCATGTGAATTCAGTGAAAACTGGAAAGAGATGAGTCAAACTCAAGACTGTAACAATTATTAGCAAAAAGGAAATCACCATGATTGATGAAAAGCACGTTTAATCCCTGCATATATATGTTCAAGGAAAGTAATGGAAGGAGAAAAACCCACACTTTAACAGTGAAGATTTTTTTATTTTATTTTTGGGGTGAATTAGTCAAGCATAAAAGTTTGAAAGGAAAAAACAAAATTTAAACTAATAAATGAAATGTCCCCACGAATGAACCTGCATTCGTACTAGACGTGATACTTTCCCACGCATAACAAGGACGATTATTTGGTTTCGGGACAATATCGTATAAAAGAGTACTGCATGCTATGCTATGCTCTATATGCTTGGGAGGGAAGGGATGTAGCAGTTTGTCATGGATTCACTCACTAATCTATCTCATAATGACGATTTGTTGATCTTTATTTTCAATTAATATTACTCAAGAGATGATTCACTCCCTGATCTCTCTTATGATGATTATTTTGGAGTTCTAATAACATTTTCCTTTTTTTTTGGGAGTTTCACTAAAACATCCAAAATGGGGGCTGAAATTATAAAAAAACCCAACACCCAAAACACTTTATAAACACACCCAAAACCCATCATTACACACACTCAAAACCCATTTATAAACACACCCAAAAAATATACAATTTTTGATTTTGGGGTTGATTTTGGGTGTGTTTCTATGTTTAAATAGTGTTTGGATTTTTTTATAAATACATGTCTAGGATTGGGTTTATTTATAAATTTGTATTTTTTTTTAGTAATGCTACATTTACCACATTAGTATCTCATATTTTTATACCACATGATGGGGCATGTCCATATCATATGACATATCAATTAAATGAATGAAGTGTGTTTTAATAAATAAAATTAGAAAAACAGAAACTAGTATTTTACATGATGTGGTATGTACACATCAGCCGCCACATCATGTGGTATAAAAAATGTGGTAAGACTAGTGTTATTCTTTTTTTTTCTTTTTTTTCTTTTTTTGAGTCAAATAACAATTCCTTTACTTATATAAAAATTGTTTTGTAGATTTAAAGTGGTAAGTTTAAATTCTATAACTTAGAGCTAAAATGTTATTAGACAATGTACCATTTCCCCACTTTAAACTTCATTTTTTGCTGGTTTTATTTTGTTTTTGACGTGACTGAATCAAAATTGAATTTAGGCACATGGGGTGGCACCATAGTGGAAAAGTGAGCTAAACTCTCTCCCTTCCCACTCCAAGTGCATTAGGTTTCGATTTATGTATGAAACAATCTTGAGGCAACTCCATAATACTCCCCCCTTCCATTTCCTAACAAATGACAAAAAAAATCAAAATTGAATTTTCTGGTTTTAGAAATGCTATCAGTTTTTTAAATTTATTTAAAAAGAGCCCTACTAATTTAAACCAATTCTTAATTTGTTTTTCATCGATAGTTTTTTTATTTTGAACATTATGGTTTGTTATATAAAGGGTATATGTTTTTTTTAAAAGAGATATAAAGGGTATATGTTAGTTAAAGTGAAAGTCTAATATACTACGAACGAAGACTACAAATTAGGCCGTTGGTACCCATTGTAGGTCAATGCGGTTGCTTTTGTTGGGCATGATATTTAAGATTTGGAGCGGGCCTAGCCCATAATAGTGTGTGTGATGCATGCGTTCAGAAACTTGTAGTGGTGATGGGCCATTGATTGTCGATAATGCATCTATGGAATTCAGATTGGACTCAGCACTAGGCGTCTGCATTCGATCACGAGTTACAGGACACTCAACTTATTCATCCAGACTCCAGTAGAGTAGATGTATTTAACATGTTCTTAATAAGAATAAAGACTGTTTATACCAAAAAGAAGAAGAAGAAGAAGAAGAAGAATCGAGGTTGAAATAGAGTATGGACCAATGCAAACAGCATCGGATTCTGTGGCTATGTTATTGGATCATAGAGCGAAAAGACCAACATATCATCCATTATATATATATATATATATATATATGTATATGTTGTTGACGTGAGTCTCCTAATTAATCAAGGAGATTTACTTCCTTGATTAATTAAGCGATTTATTTTTCTATTTTTTATATAAGTGATAAATCATTGTACAATTAAGAAATATTTTCCTAATTCTTTACTATATCTAGTTTCTTGTAAGACCCTCATGTAAACTTATATATATATATATATATATATATATATCTTCTTATGGAGAATAATAATAAAAAACCTAATACATTCAAACCATATTCATATTTTAGCATGGTATCAGAGCCTTGTTATCTTGTGACATGTGCTTGCATTCTTCTTGAAATTTAAGTATTCTCCTCCCTTCCTCTTCAAGGGGGGAGAGGGAGTGAAAATGATATGTTTATTGACGTATCCCCATTACCTTGATGTATTCCCATGAAGATACTGCATATCTTTTTACTCTTACGACCCCTTCTCTTCAGAGGAGAGGGGGAGTGAAGAGAAGTTGTTTTGTCTCTAAACCCTTATCTCAAATTTCTCATATTCAAATCCAAAACTCTAAATCAAATTCCTCATATTTGTCCCCAAATTCTCATATCACATTTTACTTCCGTTGCAATGTCAGGAACCCCTACGATTCTCCATCTTATTGCAGACTCACAGAAGCATGTGGTCACTCCTGCTTATCCGGCTACTCGGACTCCTGCTTCTATCATCACCACCAAAGGTTCTACTTTTCATACGTGCTCTAAGACCAGATATTGCATATGCTGTGAGTGTGGTTAGTCAGTTTATACATTCGCCCAGTGTTTCTCATAGGAATGCAGTTGATCGGATCTTAAAATACTTAAAGTCAGCCCCGGGGAAAAGATTAACGTTCTCAAAAAATGGAGATCTTGAAGTTGTTGGATATATAGATGCTGATTGGGCTGGTTCTATTACAGATAGACGCTCTACTTCAGGTTACTTTACATTCGTGGGAGATAATTAGCGGAGTAAAAAGCAAAATGCGGTTTCTCGGTCTAGTGCAGAAGCAGAGTATCGAGGAATGATTCACGGAGTTTGTGAATTATTGTGAATCAGAAGATCAATTTACAGATATCTTAACCAAAGTTGTTTGTGGAAGAGTATTTCATGACTCACTTACCAAGTTGGGCATTGGTGACATATATGCATCAACTTGAGGAGGAGTGTTGACGTGTGTCTCCTAATTAATCAATGAGATTTACTTCCTTGATTAATTAAGGGATTTACTTTCCTATTTTTTATATAAGTGATAAATCATTGTACAATTAAGAAAAACTTTCCTAATTCTTTACTATATCTAATTCCTTATAAGACCCTCATGTAAACTCCTATATATATCTCCTTATGGAGAAGAATAAAAAAAACCTAATACATTCAAACCATATTCATATTTTACCATATTCACCTATTTTTTATATAAGTGATAAATCATTGTACAATTAAGAAAAACTTTCCTAATTCTTTACTATATCTAATTCCTTATAAGACCCTCATGTAAACTCCTATATATATCTCCTTATGGAGAAAAATAAAAAAAACCTAATACATTCAAACCATATTCATATTTTAGCATATGTATACCTTAACTTGCTCATCCATCAGGTGGTTGAGCAAACCATCTTTTAATTGGCTACATAGTACATACCGTGACAGAGAAGTTGGCCAACATTAGTTACTTCAAGATCATCAGAAAGTTAATTTTTCTAACTTGTCATCCAACGCGTCACTAAAACTAGTCTTCTTTATTGGTTTATGTGTCCTTCCACCAGGGCTTCTAGTTGTCTGATTGATATGATCCAACGCTGGCAATGCAATTGAAGTATGGTGAACTGAGAATGGACTGGGTGATATCCTCTTCTGTTTTGGCATAGCACCACCAAAACCTTCCCTGGTCATACAGAGACACAGACTCTGCAGCTGCCCGTTGTTTCGTGGCATCATCTACATATAGCAGATCATCAATCCTTGCCATTATGTTGAACGCCAAGCTCTCCATCACCCTAGAATAGCTCTCAAGGACTGATTGCCCCACATCCTGCAATATATCATTCATTTCATTAGCATGTAAAAAGCTCAACAAAACTAGAGTGGATACGCATCATCTTCAAACTCAGACTCCTCATTTTTGACATTCAATCTCTAGTCTGGATCTGGAGTACCAAATTAGTCAATCCTATGGTTTCAATATTTATGTTCATATTTTTTACTGTCAAAATGAAATGTTAGAAACGGCAGGCATGGTGCTTGACCTGATCAACTATCTTTTCTTTCTTTCCAAGCTAAGATGATAAATCTTTTTGGGCTTATACCTTGTTGTACTGAATCTTGTTCATGTCCAGAGCAGTCTGCGGGAGGCCAGGGAACCGTATCCTTAGGTTCTGTAAAAGGGTATCAGCCCGATGCGCTAGAAGCTTGTTTTTTTCTGTGTCACTGACAAAGCCTTTGACCTTTCCTCCCCAGGATGACTTTCCAGTATTCACAAGAGTTGGATGGCATTTCAGGTGTTTCTGCTTCCAAATGTGCGCAGCAGCCTCAATCCGGTTTGCTATTTCCAGAGTGGTGTATTCTGATGAGAGGTCCAAGTAATCAAGAAGACATTCTGGGGAGAACTGATCAGCAGCTATAAAACGGTAAATGATTTCGCCTAAACAAGCTTTCGCACTCTGGGGAAATTGGTAGAGTGATGTCAACATATATTGTGGTAATAAATCAGATAAACAGAGAAAAGAGAATCAAACATGACTTAGCCATGTGATTCCTAGGCCGTAACTGGAAAGGATAACTAAAAGCAAATACTTTGTCATTGTGCAGCAGGAAATAAGAGCAATAGAAGGAAGTGAGAGATATGAATATGAAATGCAAACATGACACCATACTTTAATATCTTGACAATCTAGACCTTAATTATAGAACTGTTTTCGAAAAAGCAACAAGAAAATAAATTTATCGCTGTGTATCCTGTGTGTGCATGATCTTAAAATTCATAACATGATTGATCATGCATAGGAATAGATATAAAGGAATAGTTTCCTCCTTACCTTGGGCAAACTCTCCAAATAAGCATCAGGGATTTCCATTTCAGCCAGCACACTACTATTGATCGCCATTGCAGCCTTAAGGATCTGATTTGTGCATTCCCTACACTGTTGCAGTGTCTTCCTAGCATTCTCAGAGAGACCATTTGGGGGGACCTTAGGGAATGGGAGCCACCACTTCTCTTCTTGCCTGATTGAAGGTCTATTGGAAGAGGAAGACGGGGGAATTGTTTCACCATCATCAGAATCAGCAACAATTATACCTCGGTCAACATAGTAAAACTGAGAATCATGGAATCCGTCAAGAATGCTAAGCAGCATCGCATCTAGTTTCTTGAGTGCCGGCAGGTTTACATATAGATCAGAGCGGGGCCGAGTGACCATAACCTCGAAGGTTCCACCACCAGGGAATTCTTGTATTGATGGTATGAGCTCAACAATAGAATCACTTACACACAAAAGCCAATCCATCTCCCGGCACCACATTGCCTTCTTCTGGGGTGCCAATGGCTCCAACTTCCACAACTCCCCAAACACAGTGGCTGACAAAGAAACCAAATGAAAAGAAACATAAAACTAATTGGACAATTGAAGGGGAAACATAAAACAATGATTATACTCCTCTGTTCTGTTTCTTTATAATATAACTATGCTTCATCTGTATTCAATCAGTCAAAAAGACGGGGGTTGGGGGAAAATTGTAAGGAAACGAGTAACGGAAAACCCAAGAAGACAAGAATTTGTACAAACCGGAAAGATTTGTGATGGCATTGGAAATAGCAAGAGCCGTACAGACTCCCTTGCCTCCACCTGACATGTCTTCTCCAAGCAGAAGCTTTGCAAACCGCTCCTTCATCAATTCAACTTCTGCAGATAACACAAATATAATCCATTTAATGTCAAATTCTGCAGCTGCACTCTAAGTAACAGGAATGTGTGGAAAGAATAGCAAAATTTCATACGTTTTTTGCCCCAATTGGAGCGAAAAAAGAGACAATCATACAAGTTCCAAGCCTTAAAATGTTGCCTACTCGCATATAAATTAATAAGAACCGGAAAGGGTCAAATTTTGCATTACAATTGTAACTTTAAAGAATTGCAGAGATTTTCCAAAGTAAAGCACACTGACCGGACAACTTGGTCTCATTTTTCTCAGCCTTGGTCGCCGGAATGACGACATGTCGTCCACCGACCGCCGGAAACAAAAAGGGTATAGGCGGCTGTTGCTGACAAACAAAAATGTCAGCGAAGTCGGGTCCGGATGGAGGGGAAGAAGTCAAAGAAGTGGAAGCAGCAGCAGGAGCTTCGTGCCGACAGGAAAAGTCACTGGTGGAGCTTTCTGACTCACTGACGTCTGCACTCAAGCTGTAGCTCTCGAACCTCTGACTCAACTCATCTTCAGAGGAGATGCAGATGCTCCCCATTGATATATCAATCAAACTCAAACCCCAATATCTCTCTCTTTCTCTCCGCCGAGGAAAAAGGAAAGTGGAAAGATCAAAGATTAAACTACCTACGGTGCTCTGCTCTCTCCCTCTACCGTTATAGCTTTCTTGTATAAATTAAGTGTCTGTGGTCTGGTCCCACGTAGGGGACAAAGCAGGTTGCTCTTTATTTGAGCGGATGGATTGGTATATATCTACTATTTACCCACGTGTTGTTCTGAAGCTTGCTTGCTTCTTTGCACGCGCTGAGATACCTTGGAATTGGATGATTGGATCTAAAAATTATAATTTCTTTATTTTTTTCTTCTCTGGAAACAAGTAACATATAAATAATAATTTCGCAGTTGGCCATTGGTCAGGGTCGTAAATTGCATTGTACGGACAGAATTGGTTTTTTTTTAAGTGTTCAATTTGGTCGTCTCTCTCTCTAGTCACTCGCTAAATTACTAATCAATAAATGAAAATGGCGATTATTTGGTGCACCGAAGAGTTCAGTGTGGGCGTTCTTCATCTATTTGTTTAAGGAAAACATGGCTTTAGCCTAAGTTTTCAACCATTGAGGTTGAAGTTAATCTAAAACTAACTCTTCAAGTAATGTTCTAGTTGCTCATCAACATAACAGGAGTTACTTGATTTGTTAAACTTAAATAGTAAGATAGTTTCAGTGGATGCATCATGCATGTTTGTAATCAGATTCTTTGTCATTTGTGTGATGTCATCTTTCCCAGTTCCCACTTCTCATGGGCCATGCCATCCCATCCCCCATGACATAAGATTTGAATTGAGCTTCCAGTCAACCCATTTCAGCGTTAACAATCCAATGGGTTAGTCCAGCAGACGTTTCCAAAGCCCATATGGGAATTTTTATGTCCAAATGTTTTTTGCCGTATGGATGATGGATCAGTCAGTGTTAATCCAACAAGTTAATTTGCTTTGGCTTTGCTTTTTGGGTAAATGACTTAAATTGTCCTCAAACTTATACTTGATTTACATTTTGGTCCCTCAACTAAATTATTCGTTCAAATGGCCAGTCAATTCTATATTATTTGCTCCAGTAGTCCTACCGTCTAATTTTCTGTTAGATTTAACCTAATTTTAGGGTAAATAATGACCAATTTGCCCTCATATTTAACAGAAATATTGACAGAATGTAACGGTAGGACCAATGAAGTATATAATATAGAGTTGATGGACCATTTAAACGAATAATTTAATTGAGGGATCAAAATGTAAATCGAGTATAAGTTTGAGTAATTTACCTTATTAATTTGTGTGGATGAGGTTTGATCGCTTTTTAAAGGGCTAGGCCAGTCAAAATTATGACGACATAAACCACACACAATGAGCACACATTAGCCCACATTCTTCTTGGCAAGTAACGCCTAACAAGCATTGATGCCTCGAGGTTCCAACTTCCAATGGGCAAAGGTTTTGACTCGGCCGCCAATTGATAAAATTTGACTTTAGGACTTTTATTACAAACGAAAGTTGAGTTGAATGAGAGAGAAAGAAATCCAAAAGATTACTGGGTTTTGGGTTGCACATTTCGCCTTTTCTCTGATTGATCAATACCTTTGAGCTATGGCTGAGGGCTTTCCTGGATTGGTCAGAAAGATATCGAGGGTTACCAAGCGTATAAGGTCGTCAGAAGATTTGAATGCAGATTGCGATGAGGAACTCACCCCAATGGTAAACCTAGGGCCGGCGGTCGACACGACTTCAGAGTTACCCCCATTTATGAAGAATGTCAGCTTTCGTGATAGACTTATGAACCAAGTGAACCTAACCAAAAACACTGGTATTGCTGTGGATTCCTTGGAGGTAGACTATGTAGATCTGATTGATGAAGATGATGTCGAGATATCACGTGGTACGCGAGGCCCAAGTATCCAATTTTCAGATCGAGCGATGACCCGTTTTTGCCAACCTTAGAAGAATGCCTTAATCATCAAGCTTTTGGGTTGCTCGCACACCTACAACTACCTTCGTGACCGACTGCAGCAAAAGTGGAATTTGAAGGGTTAATGGGAGCTCGTCGATCTTGTCAATGACTACTTTGTGGTCCAATTCGATCTGGAAGAGAATTTGAACTATGTACTGACAGAAGGACCGTGGATTATCTATGGGCAATACCTAACCCTCCAGAAATGGTGAACTAGGTTCTACCCTGCTACAACACACATCACCCGTATGGCAGCCTAGATCAGAGTATCCGCTATCCAATTTGAATGCTTTGATGTCTGGGCTCTCAAGAGAATTGGTAATTTACTAGGTAAATTATTGAAAATTGATGTTAAGCCGGAACAGAGGTAAATTTGCTCGACTCTTTATTGAACTAGATATGACTAAGCCTTTGGATGCCTTTATACAAATCAATCAAATTTGGTATAACATTGAGTATGAAAGGTTGCCAGATATCTGCTATCATTGCGGACTATATGGACATAAAAGTGATAACTGTACGCAAAGAAGGAAGCCTACTACAGATATGCCTAAAGGGAATCGATCTAACCCAAGTGGGACAAGATACTATTATGGAAAAGGAAAGTGGTGAAGATGTAGTTGAGAACTTGAGGGGCTTGTGGACGAATGTTCCACCTAGAAGGAAAACTAAGACCGGTGCAAAAAATTTGGGTGGGGAAAGTAACAGCCTTAAGCCCCATGGCTCTCATTTTGATGCTCTCGAGAAGACTACTGAAAAGTTTGGAACAGAAACGACGGAGGCATTTGTTGACGTCATCCCAACCAATAAGGTGACTAATAAGATTAATTATAATGTTTGGGTGAAAATATGGACCAAGTTTAACAAAGCTAAAGGTAGAGGTAGACCGGCTATGAAAGATATCTCAAACATGAGTATGGCTTCAAGTTCCAGAGGGGAAACTGATCAGCAGAAAAAAGTGAATCCTAAAAACAATACTCAGATTGTAAAATTGAACAAAGGAAAGCTTGACTCAAGCGTGCTGCAACCTTCCCAAGCTGTGTCAGTAAGTGATAAGGTTAGTGAATGGGTGAGAAACCAGAACGTTCAATCTACTAAATGGGCTTTTATCTTTGGACACCAACCTCCGAATATTACCGGTGGGCATCATAGATTGGTCAATGAGAGGGAAGCTGATAAATTGATTGACGCTTTAGCCTCTGATGCAACTGATAGTTTCTGTACAGTGGAAGACATGAACCTTGCTGAAGGTCAAGATCACACCATTGGCGAAGATGGGGTAAATCTTGTCGGTTTGCCTGATATAGGTATGCCTCTTGGTCTGTAATGGATGGGTTTAGCCCCCAGGTTAACTGTAATATCAACAATCTTTTATGGATATTTTATGATAGAATGTTATAGGTGCATCAAGCACCAAATTCAAAGTGAATATGATGGAACTGATTAAAATTCAGTCTATTGATATTTTGTTTGGCAGCGAACCTAGAATTGGAGGAGATAAGGCCCTTAAAATGGTTAAATCTTTGGGTTTCTCGAATTTTGAAGTGGTGGATCCTACTGGATTTTCTGGAGGTCTGTGGCTTCTCTAGAATGCAAATAAAGTGAATGTTGAAATTATTGGTACCTCATACCAAACTATTTTCGCGTATGTCTCTTGGTATGGTCGTAGCCTTTGGATCTTTACTGGAATATATGCTAATCCTTGCTCCACCAAAAGAGCAAAATTATAGGAGTACTTGAATTTTGTTGCTAACTGTCACCAAATGCCTTGGTTTATTGCTGGAGATTTTAATGACATGCTCAAAACAAATGATAAAATGGGGGGAATCCTATTACACCGGCTCAGGGGTTTTAAAAAGTGGTTTGATGAGAATAACATGATTGACTTGGGCTATTCTGGCCCTAAGTTCACTTGGACTAATAATAGAGTCTTTGAACGAATTGATAGAGTAGTGTGTAATATGCAGTGGAGGCAACAGTTTGCCGAGGCCTTTGTTTAACATCTCCCAATGACAAAATCCGACCATTGTCCCATCAAAATTTGTCTGAAGTCTCGCGTTATGTCTTTCCCAAATCGAAGACCCTTCAGGTTTGAAGTGATGTGATTAAAGCATGACCAGTTCCATGATTTTATTTTGCAGCAATGGGATCAAGGGTCTAGCTCGACCCTTGCGAAGTCTCATAGTTTGGTGGAACCTCTAAAGCATTGGAACATTGCTGTTTTTGGCGATTTGAAGCAAAGAAAAACTCAATTACTAGCTCGCCTCAATGGTATCCAACAAGGTATGTGTCATAGACCTAATAGATTTCTCACCCAACTGGAGGAATCTCTCTCGACTGAATACAATATCATTTTAGACCAAGAAGCCTTGTGCAGCAAAAGTCAAGAGTCAAATGGCTACAAGGGGGTGACCGAAATACTAAGTTTTTCCACCTCTCCACTATTGTTAGAAGACGCAGGAACAAAATCGAAAAACTGAATAACAATGTTGGAGTTTGGGTTGAGGAAGCTATTGAGCTAAAGAAGTTCGCGATTGACTACTTTATGGTGCTTTCTGTTCAAACCAGCCAGATAACACCAATCCTCCCATGTCTAAGCTATTCCCCAGCCTAAGGGAGGATGAGCTCAACCCCTTAGTGACTAGTATTAATATCAATGAGGTCAAGGAAAGTCTTTTCAATATTGGTAGCCTGAAAATCCCGGGAGTGGTTGGGTTTCCTGCTTGCTTCTATCAAAATCAATGGTAGGTTTGTGGTAATGATATTTTCTGTAACACCCCGACCCCAAATTTATCCCATGTTTTAATTTATTTAAGTGGAATTGAGAAATTACCCGTGGGATAGGGGTATTTTAGTCATTTTCTTACCCGGAAGGAATTTGAGAATTTCGGATGTACCGTTGCGTAGAGCACGGCGAGATGAGTTCGTAGACATGTAGTGGGCTCGAATCGGAGTTGTAACGAGAGAGATATGATCAAATGAAGCTCAGTGGCATAATCGTAAATATTTTGAAGTGGGATTTTTGGTTAAAAGACGGAATTGCCCCCGTCTCTCTCACACACTCTCTCTCTCCCGCGCGTCCCTCTCTCTCCTCTGGTTTTCGCGACAGCCACTGTGGCCGGCCACGTTTTGGCCGGCCGTGCTCTCGTCCGGCCACCAAAGTCGACGGGGCCGGTACCAAAATGACCGGGCCGCCGTCCTCTTCCTACCCCAGCCAGGTGTCGCCGTCAGCCGTCGAGATTTCGCCGGAAAATCGAAGAGAAAAGCTCGGTTTCGCCCGAAACTTCGCCGGCTTCGTTCTCCTTCGTCCGGCCGCCATTTTTGGCGATCAAGGTATGGAAATTCATCCCTTCCGCATGATCTAGCTGATGGTTGGGTAGGATTGTATCGATTTTGAGCCTAGATTATCTGATTTTCGAGTTAGGGTTCGGCCGGATTTCGGGATGAGATTCCGGCCACTTCCGGTCAGATTTTGGGGTATGCCCAAGAACAAAAGTGGCTCAGAATAGGGTTTTACATCTAGGATAGGAAGCTTGGCCGGCGGTTTGGAGTTTTCCGGCCGCCGGAAATTACTCAAGGCACCCACGCGCTGCCGGCGCGTGTGGCGGCGCGTGGGCTAGGAAAATGGACTGGTTCGAGGTTCTAAAATGATCTCCTGGTTCTCACGAGCGCGTAGGTGTGCTCGGATCTCATTTTGGGTACCGTTAGAGTCCCGAACGGATATTGCATATCGCGTATTTTCCGGGTTCGCTAGGTTTGGACTGTTGGATGGTCATGAGATTATAATATGTTGATCTAGGTATTACCAGGATCATGTAGGATTTGATGGATCGTAAAATGGAGTCCCGGATACTCCAGAAATGCCAACCCTGGGGTTAGGGTTTTAGTAACCGTCCGATCGTGTGATCGTGAGCGATCCGACCGTCCGATCTGGACCAAACTTGCAGGACATGTGTCCTAGAGCCTGTAGAACCTATAGGAACTTTCGGATCGAAATTTGGAGGTGGTGGGCCCCGCAGGCCCGTTTGACCCTAGGTTGACCGTGAGACTCCCGAGATAGTCTTACCTTTCCTTGAGGGTTAGGTTGACCTTAGTGACAGGTCTTGAGCAGTGTTGTTGAGTTAAATGGATATTGTGGGTTAGGATATAAATTGGTGAATTTAAATGGTGGGAGTTTATGGAATGTTTTATTGGTTGATGTTATTGTATGATTAGAAATTATATGATATATTTAATTAATTGTGTGGACGTGTAATGATATATAAGGAGATTGAATGTTAGTTTACAGTGCTATACGCACTACTCCCACGTACCCCCATATTGTGATTATGTTCAGGCCCAAGTGATAGTGTGAGGTCGCACGCGTCTTTGGGTTAGCCGGCGTGTTGACAGACCCCGTACGTGGCCGGGTGCGTCCCGACGTATGAGTGGGAGTATATGGTGTGTGAGGGCTGGTGAGAATGTAGCCAGGCCCAGTGTGAGGTCGCACGCGTCTTTGGGTTAGCCGGCGTGTTGACAGACCCCGTACGTGGCCGGGTACGTCCCGACGTATGAGTGGGAGATATGATGGTATGAGGGCTGGTGAGAATGTAGCCAGGCCCAGTGTGAGGTCGCACGCGTCTTTGGGTTAGCCGGCGTGTTGACAGACCCCGTACGTGGCCGGGTGCGTCCCGACGTATGAGTGGGAGTTATGATGTGTGAGGGCTGGTGAGAATGTAGCCAGGCCCAGTGTGAGGTCGCACGCGTCTTTGGGTTAGCCGGCGTGTTGACAGACCCCGTACGTGGCCGGGTACGTCGCGTATGAGTGGGAGATATGAGTAGATGGCTGGGGAATGTAGCCAGGCCCAGTGTGAGGTCGCACGCGTCTTTGGATTAGCCGGCGTGTTGACAGACCCCGTACGTGGCCGGGTGCGTCCCGACGTATGAGTGGGAGATATGATGGTATGATGGCTGGTGAGAATGTAGCCAGGCCCAGTGTGAGGTCGCACGCGTCTTTGGATTAGCCGGCGTGTTGACAGACCCCGTACGTGGCCGGGTGCGTCCCGACGTATGAGTGGGAGCTATGTGATTTTGTTGGATGTGTTGTGATGGATAAACCCGAGAATGTATGAATTTATATGGATGTGATGGGTTAATTGATATCAGGAGCCAGGATTGATAGGAAAGAGCTACGTGTGGCTTGATCCCTTAGTAGGGTACGTAGGCAGCCTGGGATAGCGCCTAGGTGCAGCCACGACTTAGACACCACTTAGGTGGTTTTATCGAGTATGATGCGGACCTTGTGGTTGGTCCCGAAACTTGGTTGAATTGAGGCTTGTCCGTTGGACTGAGTGAGTGAAGGTGTGTATGGATGGATTTTGAATTGGTTATATGCATGTGTGATGCAGTAAGTTATTTTGAAAACAGTGTGGGCAGTTTGTTAGAATCATTGAAGGCCGGAGGCCATTTATGTAAATTGCATGAGATTATATTGTGCGTGCTGCTGGTTGGGATTATAAAATGTGTTTTATGCAGGTGGAAATTTTGGGGGATGTTCAATTTACAGGGAAGACTTTGCCGAAATTTTGGCAGAAAGTCTCGTGCCCTAAATCCTCTCTGGTAAAAGAGGACATAGTTTTAAGGAGTGAACTCGGCATGGGTGTGATGCCGGGGTCTCCGCAGGGTTCGTCTCGGGTTTCGGGAAATTCGGGACGGGTCCTGTCATTTTCGACCTTGTCATCGAAGAGTTCTGTGAATGCCGAATCCCCGAAGGTTTGAATGCCACTTTGGTAACTCTCATCCCTAAAATAGATAACCCTATGTCTATGATGCATTTTAGACTAATTAGTCTTTGCTGCACTCTGTACAAGGTAATTTCTAAAGTGATTGTGGCCAAATTGAGACCTCTTTTGGCTAAGCTTGTCAGTCCTCATCTGGTAAGCTTTATCCCAGGTAGGTATATATCTGATAATATTTTGATTGCTTAAGAGCTCATGTTTAAATTCAGAAATACTAAAAGGAAAAAAATATTTTATTGCTTGGAAGATTGACCTTTCTAAAGCCTATGACAGATTAAACTGGAGTTTTATCATGACAGTTCTTAACGAAGTCGGTTTACCTGCAAATCTCATCCAGCTTATCATTCATTGTGTTTCTTCTATTACTTATCACGTTTGCGTCAATGGGGAGCTCACCGAGACTTTCACCTCTAAGAATGGCATCCGTCAGGGAGACCCCCTCTCCCCCTACCTCTTCGTTCTTTGCATGGAGAAGTTTTCTCACCTCATAGTGGAAGCAGTGAAGAATTGCAATTGGAAACGTGTGAAATCCTCCAAGGGTGGCCCTTATGTCTCCCATATGTTCTTTGCTGATGATTTGATTCTTTTTGCAGAAGCTACTCCTCGACAAGCTTATATTATGAAGCAGTGTCTGGACGACTTTTGTAGAGCCTCGGGCCAAGTTGTCAATTTTGAGAAATCTGCAATTTATTGTTCCCCAAATATTAGCAAGGAATTAGCATATGATATTAGTCACATTTGTGGTTCATCTCTTACGAATAACTTGGGTAAGTACTTAGGGATGCCCTTACTTCACTCTCGGGTAACCAAGACTACCTACAAAAATTTGGTTGACAAAGTGCATGCCAGACTTGCTTCCTGGAAAAGCAGAGTCCTTTTTTCTATAGGTAGAGCAACTCTAATCCAAGCCGTCACCTCCGTTATTCCTGTTTTTGCCATGCAAACTGCCAAGCTTCCCATGAGCATATGTGATGAGCTGGATAAATTAAACCGCAATTTGTCAGTGGGATCTGTTGTGCAGACCTAAGAGTAAAGGGGGTTTGGGTTTCAAAAAAACTCACGACATGAACAAAGCCCTGCTAGCTAAAACTGGTTGGAGACTTTTAGAAAAGGATAAGGGTTTATGGGCCCAGATTTTTGCAAAAAAATACCTAAGGGGCCACTCCCCTTGTGATCCCAATTTACTTCTCAATCAAAATTACTCTCCCACCTGGAAGGGTATTGTGCTTGGGAAATGGGACAATATTAACTTCTGGAAGGATAAGTAGATTGCCAATGAAGCTCTTATCCATATGGTGGAGGTTAGCCTTGATTCTAGTATGGACACTATAGTCTCTGACTTTTTTATGGATGGTTGGTGGGATATTGAAAAGCTGAGAAGCGTGCTCCCTGAAGAGTGGGTGCAGAAAATTATTGGTTGCCCTACTGACTTTGGGGGTACTATGGAGGATTGTCAAATTTGGCAAACTACTTCTAATGGTCTTTTTTCTATCAAGTCTGCTTATAACTTGCTCTTTTCAGGGATGGAGTGGTTGAACCCCTAGTGGAAAGTCCTTTGGAAACTCAAATTACCCCCGAAGATTCTTTTCTTCTTATGGCTGGCGTATCAAGGAAAAATCATGTCCAATGAGCAGCGTGCCCGTAGGCTTTTCATAGGTGACCCTACTTATTGCATTTTTGATTAGCATACAAAATCTACCTTACATATTCTTAGGAATTGCACTAGAGCTAAAAAGGTGTGGAACCTTTTTCTGAACACTAACCAAGATGTTCCTTTTTTCCACACTGAGCTACACCCCTGGCTGCTCCGCAACTTTTGCTCTAAGAATAAGTTCCTGCAAATCCCTTAGAAAACTCTGTTTGGTGTCATCTGCTGGCACCTTTGGAAATGGAGAAATGATTTTATTTTCAAAAATAAGGATGATTTGCCTTTTAATCCTAGAGAGCTGATTTTGTCTGCTACTAAGGAGTGGATCAAGGCCTCTATTAATAATCAATTGGGAGGTGATAAAATCCAGGTTAGTTTGGCCTGGACCCCCCCCCTCTCCCCTCTGAGAATGGTGTGTTAAAGCTAAATGTGGATGGATCCCTCATGGAAGTTCGAGGTCCATTGGAGCTGGAGGAGTTATTAGAGATCACCTGGGTAATTGGATTGGTGGTTTTGCTGTCAACCTAGGGAAAGGGCAAATCCTTGAAGCTGAGCTGTGGGGTTTATTTTTTGGTCTAAATTTAGCTATCACAAGAAGAATAATGGATATTGTTGTTGAAATGGATTCTGTCAATGCCGTTAATCTTATCCTGAGTAATGATTTGAATATTTGTCATCCTATGGCTGGTTTGGTTAGCAGCTGCAAGAGACTTCTGAGCCAAATTCCAAGAAGTATTCTTCACCACATCTACAGAGAGAAGAACGATGTAGCTGACATATTGGCTACTTGGAACCACGACATTGATCTGTGGTGTTGGTTTCTTGAGGAAAATCCGACTTGGCTTGGGCCTCTGTTGTTGGATGACTCAATAGGGGTTACAAAGACCCATATTATTAATTATGTTTAGTTGTTTTTGTCATTTTCTGGGGTTTTATACTCCCCTGTTCATCAAAAAAAAAAAAAAAAAAAAAAAAAAAAAAAAAAAAAAAAAAGAGTTTTTTGCGCCTGAACGGCCCATGTTGTCATATGCTTCGCCACGCCAATGCCATTCCCCCAAGGCTTCCCCAACCAACCAAAATCACGCCAATTTTTTTTCTATTTTAAACACAACATCAAACACTTCATCTTCACATTCGTCTTCATCTTCGTTTATAGGAATAGGACGATGACTAGTATTTACTTAAACCCAACCGCCTTCAATCTCAATCTCAAGCCCTCTCAAATCCCTTCGCTTTTATTATTTTTTATTTTTTTATGACACAAGGGGGGAAAACCCCAAACATAACCTACACAACAGGAACTAAACGGGGTCTAGAGACCCCAATCCTATCATTAACCAAAGCAGCTTAAGCCCAAAGAGGCACTGAGTCAAACCAACACACTCCTAAGTCCATATTATAGCTACCATTAGCCAGACAATCAGCCAAGTAGTTCCGCTCACGATAAACATGCTGAAGATCACTATCATGGAGCAGATTCATAAAATCCTAGCAACTAGCTAACATACCAGCAATGGGATGACCTCCAATAGTATCAGGATTCTTCATGAGATGCACAACAAGAGCTGAATCCATTTCAATCACAAGATTAGAGATCCCATGAGCTACAGCAAGTTGCAAACCAGAAAACAACCCCTAAAACTCAGCTTCCAAAATCTGACATGTCCCCAAATTCACAGAAAAACCACCAACCCAATCTCCCATGGAATCACAGATAACACCCCTGACACCAATAGCCCCAAAACAAGGCTTACAAGTACCATCCATATTTAATTTAAAAGCTCCAATCCCAAGATGCACCCAAGCAAGCTCAACTTGTATTTTAGTAAAATTGCCCTTAACACAATTGATAGAATGAAGCCAATCATTCACAGCAAATTGAATAATCTTCTGAGGACAATTAGGCAACTCTTTCTGCTCAGCAAAAATAATCTGGTTCCTCCACCTCCAGATAAACCAGCGAGTAAAAACAAACACAATGTGCCAAGGGATACCTGCCCCCTCCAAAAAGCCTTAGCACCAAGATTACCTATGAGCCAAGGCTTAACATCAACATGAGAAAGGGCAGAAACTTTGCTTGGCAAGCCAACAACCTTCCAAACCTCATTAGCTCTAGGAAAATCTCTGAAAAGATGGACAATAGATTCCGAAAACCCATCACAAAAATTGCAAGATGGGTCACTAGTTAACTGTCTTCTTGCACGTTGTTCATTTGTCAAAATTCTCCCTTTCAAGACTAGCCAAAAGAAAAATTTTAGCTTTGGAGGAACCCTAAGTTTCCAAAGGATGTCCAAACCAGGATCAGACCTCCCAAAATTCCTAAATAAAATACCATAGGCAAATTTAACTGAAAACATCCCATCAGAGGTGACACTCCATATCTGAGTATCCTGTAAATTACTCCCAACTCCAATAGGAAAATTAATAATCTTTTGTACAATTTCTTTAGTCACTACACCTCTCAATTTATCATTATCCCACCATCTGTTTTTAAAAAAGCTACCCACTGTACAATCCTGCTCAACAGCATTTAGCACACCTTTTTGGTGCAGCAAAGGACCCTCATGGAGCCAGTGATCCTTCCAAAACAAAGCATTATCACCTCGACCAAGCCTCCAACTCATACCTTGTCTAAGAAGCTGGGCACCATACATAATACCTTTCCAAGTTGAAGAGCCATCCTTCTTACACAGAAGGGAAGGTTTAAGAATGGACTGGCCTTTTAAATACTTATCTTCAAACATCTTGACCCATAAACCCTGATCATTGTTATGAATTCTCCAACCAATCTTAGCAAGCAGAGCTTGATCTAGATTGGCCGAACTCTTGAGGCCTAGACCACCCTTATTCTTAGGCCTGCAGACCAAATCCCACTAACAGAGATGAACCTTGTGCTTTGCATCAGTTCCACCTCAAAAGAAATTCCTATTAAGCTTGTCCAACTCCTCATAAGTACTCATAGGCAACTTAGCAGTTTGCATTGCGTACACATGCATAGCAGACATGACAGCTTGAATCAAAGTGGTTTGACCAGCAAAAGAAAGCAAGTTACTCTTCCACGAAGCCAATCTCTTATGCATCTTGTCCACAATACCCATAAAAGTACCTTTCATAACTCTAGAGTCTAACATGGGCATACCCAAATACCTCCCCAAATTATTAGTTAGAGGAGAGCCACAAATACCACTTATTTCTCTAGCTAACCCCATATTAGTGTTGGGAGAGTAAAAGATAGCCGATTTATCAAAATTAACCGATTGACCGGAAGCTTGACAAAACAAATCAAGACAACTATTCATAACTCTAGCTTGTTTAATACTAGCTTCCGCAAACAACACCAAATCATCAGTAAAAAATAAATGAGAGACTGCATGCCCTAATTGGGAGGTCTTCATAGGCTTCCAACTCTTTCTATTCAGAGAATAAAAAATGATGTGGGATAATTTCTTAATGCATAACACAAACAAGTAAGGGGAGAAATGACCTTTTTGCCGAATACCATTACTAGGCAAAAAAGGTTCAGTAAGCTCCCCATTAACACAAACTTGGTATCTCACAGAATTAACACAAGATATAATCAGCTTGATATAATGGGCAGACAACTGCAATTCCTCTATAACATACTCAATAAACTTCCAGTTTAAACGATCATAAGCTTTAGAAAGATTGATCTTCCACGCAAATAAACCTTTCTCACCTTTAGAAACCCTGAACTTATACATCATCTCTTGAGCAATTAAAATATTGTCAGTTATGTGCCTCCCAAGCACAAAACTAACCTGATTTGGACTGATCCATTGGCTCATGAGGGGTCTCAATCTACTAACAATAATTTTGGAGATAATTTTGTACAGAGTACAACATAAGTTGATAGGCATAAACTGAAGCATGGAAGAAGGGTTTTCCACCTTAGGGACCAAAGTAATCAAAGTGTAATTCAAATCCTTAGGAATAAGACAATCCTGAAAAACTTTCAAAACCATATCCACAATATCAGGAGCACAAATATCCCAATTAAATTGAAAGAAACTAGCTAGAAACCCATCAACTCTTGGAGCTTTTAAACTACCAATATTAAATAAGCTAGTTTTGATTTCCTCAACAGTAACAGGCCTCAATAACCCATTCAAAACCAAAGAATTAACTCCAGGAAACAAATTAGGGATGGTAATATCAGTAGGCAAAAAATTGGATTGTGAAAACAGGTTAGAGAAGTAATTTACTGCCAAACCTTTCATTTGAGCAGCATCCTCCACCCAAAACCCTTCCTCATTCTTAAGTCTTTCAATCTTATTTCTCCGCCTTCGAATAACAATAGTCATGTGAAAAAATTTGGTGTTCCTATCACCTTCTTGCAACCATTGAATCCGAGACTTCTGCTGCCAAAAAAGAGCTTCCTGCTCAAGTAAGCAATTAAACTCATCAATAAGGGATAACTCTAACCGACTCAAAAAAGGATTAGGACCATTGCATAAAGCCTTTTAAATCCCAGCAAGCCTAGATAAAATCCGAGCCTTTCTCTTTCGTAAATGCCCAAAGGTATTACAGTTCCACTGTTGAAGAGGACGAATTAAAGCATAAGATTTATCCATAGCAGAACCAGTCAAATGTTCCCACCTCTTGCTAAGAAAGTCTTTAAACCCCTGATGCTTCAGCCACATCATCTAAAATCTAATAGGCTTGCAATGAGGATTAGACTGAAAGCCAGACTGTAGACAAATCTTAATAGGGCAATGATCCGATTTGGTTCGAGGCAAATGCTTAACATTAGCTCAGCAAAGCAATATCTCCACTCCAAATTACAAACCGCTCTATCCAATCTTTCAAACACTCTCCCATTGGTCCAAGTGAATTTAGGGCCATAAAAACCCAGATATACCATTTCATTACTAGAAAACCATCTTCTAAAACCCTTGAATATGCAAGACTGACCACCTCCAAGCTTATCTTCAACTTGAAACATCTCATTGAAATCCCTAGCAAGCAACCAAGGCATTTTGTGACAACTAGCAACAAAGGTCAAATAATCCCATAGTTTCTCTCTTTTGCAATTACACGGCTTAGCATAAACAACCGTCAACATCCATGGAACTTGACCAGGCCATGAAACACAAGCTGTAATAGCTTGATCCATAGTGCCAAGAACCTCAACTTTAACTCTATCACCATGCCAGAGCAACCATAAGCCACCTAAAAATCCCACAGGATCAACAACTTCAAAGCAAGAGAACCCCAACGATTGCACTATATCCATAGCTTTTTTGGCCATTAATCCTAGGCTCACACAAAAACAAAATATCCATACGATGAGTGTGAATCAACTCCATCACATTAGCTTGAAATTTGGTGCAAGCAGCACCTCTCACATTCCAGCAAACAATATCCATAAAACCAATACCAAGGAGAAACAACCTAAAGGCTAAACCCTTAAAAACCAAAAATCATACCTTCAGTGTTCGTGAAGGTATTATCAAGCAACTTCCCATTAGAAGATCGCACTTGACCCTCAGAAGTATCCATTACCACATGCACAGGAGCACCCTCATCCTCTGGCACACTCTCATGATAAGAAGAACCAATAGAATTCGCATCACTATTAATCCCATCTCCATCCTCCTGGACACTCTCACTATTAACTATATTTGGTGGTTGATGCCCAAATATATAAATCCCCTTCCCACTTTTCACATCCTTGGAACTGACCCAATTAGCAATTTTGTCCAACAAAGGCAATGAGCTCTCCACCCTTTTCCCACCAATTACCATCTTGGCTATAGCAATTAAATTCCCAAAACCCGTGCTCTTAGCCCCTCCCTCTTTTCGGCCAGCAGCCGCCAAATACTTTTTATCCTGCTGAGGCTTATTGGAGATATCATTCAAGGGGACTCGAACATCTGGTTTAACTGCCTTTGATTTGGTCCACACTTTCTTACCCAAGCCTGCATCCCTTGTAGATGGTTCCCCTTTCCCATAGACACTTTGCCCATCAGCACCATTACCAATCAACTCTTCTTGGCCAAATTTTTCACTTACATCATGTAGAGCATCAAATCTTGAGCCCTTAGCTCTAAGCCCATTATTTCTACCTCCTTGATCCTTATGCATTGCTTTAGGCCTTCTCCTTGCTGGAACATTCATCCAAGGGCCTCGTAAGTTTTCCAAAAGGTCTTCACTATTCATAGCAACATTGCCTCCCAAAACATCCTCAACAACTGAATTTTGCCCTTACCTAGGCACAGCAGCAGGAATAGAATTCCTTTTCTCGCAATGCTCTCTCTTATGACCATACCGCCCACACAAATAACAGACATCAGGTAGTCCCTCGTACTCAATATTATACCATTCCTGATTAATCTGGACAAAAGCTTCCAGCGGCTTTGTAAGATCCAGTTCAACACACATCTTTGCAAACTTGCCCCTATTATGAGATATGGTTAGAGCATTAGTCTTTAACAATTTACCCAGCAAGTTGCTAATTCGCTTCAACTCCCACACATCAAAGCACTCCAAATGGATTGCCGAAACACGAATCCACTCAGCCATTCGAGTAATATGGGCAGTGGCAGGACAAAACCCAGGCCTCCATTTCTGTAACACCAAATACTGTCCTGCAATTATCAAGGCCCGCCAGTTAGGACAAACTCCAGATCTTCCTCAAGCTCAAACTTAACAACAAAATAGTCATTCACCAAATCCACTAGTTTCCAGCCTTCTTTCAAACTCCATTTCTGTTGCAACCTATCATGGAGGTAATTGTAAGTATGAGAATGCACCAGGAGCTTAACGATCAAGGCATTCTTCCAAGGTTTGCAGAGCCTAGACATAGCCTTCTCAGAAAACTAGATGATGGGTCCCCTATCCCCTCTAGAAATCACTACATCCTCATCATTGTTCAACTCATCATAATAAGTATCCAGACTATTAACATCAATGCAAATATTTTTCACCAGATTGACCTTATTCATTAGTTTATCCCTAAAACTTGCACCATCAATCACAGACTGAACACCTGAAATTCCCATGGTATCCATCCCAGAATTAAGATTCTGACCTGAATTCAAATCAAGCGCCATCATCATATCTGGATTTGCATCGAAGACGAACGACATCTTGACGACCCAAATCGGCTCGACTCCGCTTTGCTAATCGATAATTCTTCAAGAAAACACCTGGAGACCCCTCTTTCATGGTGGAGAGTGATTCAGAAGCTCTTTAGAACCAAGGAGATCGAAATACGACCTGAAAACCATCCTAGAAGGTAGTTTCCAGCAAACAGAAAAGATGACTTTGGACGCAGGAAAATTCTGCGCGCGTGAGGCGCGTACCACTAATCAGTCTTTTTTCGTGAAAGTCAAGAGAGGTTTTATCCCTTCGCTTTCTTTCTCGTAACGTTAATAAGAAAAAAAAGGTCTTCCGTTCGCTCCCTTTCATTTCTTTCAAAACCTAGAATGGGCTCCCTTTGTGCCCTGGACGTGCCCTTGCAATACCCTAGAGTCCGCAGAGATGAGTCTGTTATCGATGACTACCATGGCATCAAGATTGCCGATCCTTATAGATGGTATAGTACAACCTCCTCTTGTCTATATATTTCCCACCATTTTTTTTTCTTTTGTTTGTTTGTAAGGAAATAGAAATTCATTATCGAAGAAGATTTTCTTTCAAGGGTTTCAATAGTATGTAGCATTTGTACTGCTTGTTATCTCAACGAGGATCAATCGCCAACTTTTTGTTGCTGCTATTTATAAGAATTTGATCGAATTTTGATTTTCTGACTCTTTTAGATTAAATCTTTTAGGCTTGAAGATCCCGACTCAGAAGAGACCAAGGATTTTGTACAGAAACAAGTGGAACTGACACAGTCGGTTCTAAAGGAATGCGATACGAGAGGTAAGCTTAGTGAAAAGATCACCAAGCTTTTCGATCACCCACGCTATGAACCACCTTATAGGGAAGGGAATAAGTACTTTTACTCCCATAACACTGGGCTTCAAGCCCAAAACGTCATCTACGTCCAGGTTGGCCATTGACTCTATATTTGATAATCAACTGCATATAACTTCATTAATTCCTTCCTCTGATTCCTTCTTCTTTCCTTATTTTTCTTTCTTGGGGTTCATTTGTGGTTTTAGGACAGTTTGGATGGAGAACCAGAGGTTTTGCTTGATCCTAATACGCTCAGTGAAGATGGGACTGTATCTTTGAACACACATTCTGTAAGTGAGGACGCCAAGTACGTGGCCTATGCCCTTAGCACAAGTGGCAGTGATTGGGTAACAATCAAAGTGATGCGGGTTGAGGATAAGAAGATCGAGCCTGATACTTTATCTTGGGTAAGCGCTGGAGTTTATGTATGTTTTGATATAAAGTAATGTGCGTTCTCCATGGCACCTTTACTGAGATGAGCTTACTATTTTCAGGTCAAGTTTTCGGAAATTTCCTGGACACATGATAACAAAGGGTTTTTCTACAGCCGATATCCAGCTCCAAAGTAAGTGGAAATCATGTATCTTTACACTAAAAAGTTGTGGGCATGTGGATTTTGATGGAGTTCTCTAATTAGCATGGTTGATAGTTTGAGACTTTCAGTTAAATTAATAAGATACAGAATAAAAAAAGTGACAGAATTGATGTAGATGCTCTTGTTTTACTTAATTTGGAGAATCCAAAGATGGTTAAATGGCTATTGCTAGGCTATGATTAGCTAAAGTTTGGGCTGTGAGTATAGAAATGTGGATATAATGGCACAAACGAGTCATTGAAATTGAATTTATTTAGAAACTTAGAAACTATTATAGGGACAATGAATAGCTATGTTAGGTTTATTTTGATATTTCCTCGTTCGTTAGATTTGTGCAAAATAATGAAATTGAATTTATAGAACTGTTGATTTGTTCTATAGAGAAGGAAAAGATATTGATGCTGGGACAGAGACCAACACAAATCTTTATCATGAGGTTTACTATCATTTCGTGGGTACAGATCAATCAAAAGACATACTATGCTGGAAGGATCCTGAAAATCCTAAATACGTGTTTGGAGCCACTGTTACTGCAGATGGGAAGGTAGGTCGATTTTGTTATCTTCCTGGATTTTATGGCTCTGTTAGAGTCCTTTTCTTCTTGTTGAAGCAGTAGGATTCTTGTACTTAAAATGAAGCCTAAAATTAAGACATGTCACCTGCTCTCTCCATATAGTTTTGTGATTTTGCATTAGAATGGGGTTTACAGTTGAGGTCTCACCCAGAAACTCTGCCCAGTGGTGAAACTGCTCAATGTATACAATTTGTAGTATGTGTAGAGAAATGATTCAGTGACACATTTTCTGTAGAAAAGGGCCCTCTGTGTGTAATAGAAGCATGTATCATATCAGGTTTTAAGTGCTATTGATACTGGCAACTTAGCAACCAAGATGCATCACCTTTGGAAAATCATAGTAATGACACGCATTATGAGTCATAAATACTGGCTGTTGTTTGTCCAAGATACTGTTAGGGAAGTATCATTTCCCTTGTAAATGGGCATTTAAGTCTTATCCTTATTTATGCCATTTTGTCATTCACATTTACGTCTTTTGATCTTTTGTTTTTTGTTTTTGAACGGAATCTGTTAAAGGATACTATTATAGCCACCACACTATTGATGGCGAATTAGGTGTGAATACGTTTAATGATCTCTCACCATACAGAAAATGGTGCCAGATTCCGAGAGTTTCATATTGAAGCATTTGGGCCATGGTTGTAAGATGGATCTAATGACGTGGATGTTACAGCTCTATATATTTATGATAATCAGTGGATATTAAATTCTTATATAATTTTTCTAGTTTTTTTCCAATGTGAAACACCTCTTAGAAATTGCCATTTTTGTTTTGATTAGATTGTTGCATAGCTTAGAAAAAGCAGATTTATTGTAATATTATTTTGAACTAACTTTTTTTTTCCTTCTGGTACTCTGTAATCTGCAGTATATTATTCTATCTATTGATGAGGGTTGCGACCCAGTCAACAAATTTTATTACTGTGACATGTCTGCACTTCCTAATGGGCTTGAAGCTCTAAGGGAGAAAAATGATTTGCTCCCATTTCTGAAGCTTATCGATACATTTGATGCAATGTATAATCTCATTGCAAATGATGAAACTGTGTTTACTTTTCTGACAAACAAAGATGCTCCAAAATATAAGTTGGTCCGAGTTGATCTAAAGGAACCAACTGTTTGGACTGACGTTCTCCAAGAAGCTGAAAAAGATGTACTTGAATCAGTATGTGCTGTGAATGGTAGCCAAATGATTGTTAGTTACTTGAGTGATGTGAAGTCTGTACTACAGATTAGGGATTTGAATTCAGGTAACTTGCTGCATCAATTACCTATCGACATTGGCTCGGTTAGTGAGATTTCTGGAAGACGTGAAGACAGCACTGCTTTTTTTTGGTTTACGAGTTTTCTCACCCCTGGTATAATATATCAGTGTAATTTAGCGAACGAAATTCCGGACATGAAGGTATTTCGTGAAATTACAGTTCCTGGGTTTGATCGCTCAGAGTTCCAAGTTGATCAGGTATTAGAGCTTCTTGTACTGACATTTTAGTGTCGCTAGCTTGATCTCATTCTTTCTTTGTACCTTCAATTTTTTATCACATGCAGTATTTCATTTACTATATGATGGGTTTTTTCATTATCCAGGTATTCATTCCCAGTAAGGATGGAACTGAGATACCAATGTTTGTCATGGCCAGCAAGAACATTCCTTTGGATGGATCACACCCGTGCTTGCTATATGGATATGGTGGATTCAACATTAGTATTACGCCTTATTTCAGTGTTAGTCGTATTGTACTTACAAGACATTTAGGTGCTGTTTTCTGCATAGCAAATATCCGTGGTGGTGGGGAGTACGGGGAGGAATGGCATAAATCAGGCTCCCTAGCTAAAAAGCAAAATTGCTTTGATGACTTCATTTCTGCAGCTGAATACCTGGTATCTGCCGGTTATACCCAACCCAGCAAGTTGTGTATCGAAGGTGGAAGTAATGGTGGGCTGCTTGTTGGAGCTTGCATAAATCAGGTGTGGCATTTTTAGTTTTGTTTACTATTAAATCTGTAGTGAGTGATTTATATGAAAAAAAATGCCTTCTCGCAGAGACCCGATCTTTTTGGTTGTGCACTAGCTCATGTTGGTGTTATGGACATGCTACGGTTCCACAAGTTTACCATAGGTGAATTTACTTCCTTTGGGTCTTCTAAGGGTTTTTTTTTCTTCTGGTTGCAACATATGTTTGATGTAGAAGAGTTTCTCAGGTCATGCATGGACTTCTGATTATGGCTGTTCTGACAAGGAGGAAGAATTCCAATGGTTAATTAAGTGAGTACTGTTTTGTTTACATTTTCTCTCTTCATTTGGTGGTGTTGAGGTGTATCTGATTGCAGTCCTGTTTTGGTTAGGGCAATGTTTTAAAATTCTGTAGAAGTATTTCACTGCCTTGTTTTAGTATCAATTCTGTGATGGATAGTGATGGTAGGATAAAGTATTGCTCCAATTCACATTTGCTTAGAACTCCATAAACAAGATTTCTCATTCTTTGTTGGAATGAGTGTGATTGTTAGGATAAGAGGGATTGCAGTACATATTTATGCATTATGCTTGATGCGCCTCTTCATCAGTCTTCTTCTTACTAGGCAATTTGTGAGCATGTTTTGTTCTGATTTCTGTGACAGGCTCAGATGTCTTGGTGGTTCTTGTAAATATGAATACGAGCTTATCCCTCCCTCCCTTCTACTTTCAGGTACTCGCCTTTACACAATGTCAGGAGACCATGGGAACTGCATGCAAGCCAACCTCACCAGTACCCATCTACCATGCTATTGACTGCAGATCATGATGATCGAGTCGTACCATTGCACACGTTGAAGTTATTGGCAGTGAGTCTCTTTTGCGATAGAATCTACGAGTCTTTTATTTATTTGTGCATTTGTCTGTTTCAGTTGTGTGTTATTCTCTTTTATTGATTTTGTGCTTTTGTTTGATTCAGTTGTGTGTGTTATTTTCTCTTCAATTGTATAATTGATTCTCTTTATTTTTAGACCTTGCAATATGTTCTGAGCACAAGTTTGGAGAAAAGCCCACAGACCAATCCAATTATTGGTCGCATTGAATGCAAGGCTGGGCATGGAGGCGGACGTCCAACCCAGAAAATGGCAAGTATCTGATTGAGTTTATATTGTCATTTATGGTCCCGACCATTGTATTTATATATGGCTCTTGTATTTACAGATTGATGAAGCTGCAGACCGGTATAGTTTCATGGCTAAGATGTTGGGTGCATCTTGGATAGAGTAGTAGTTTTATCGATGCTTGACAACAAAGATGAAAAGAGCGAAAAAAAATAAGAGTTGATGGCTAAGTTGGGTGCATGCTGTAGTCGACCTCCTGGGTTAGGTTAGGTTAGCACAGGCTATTTTAAAGTTGAACTATGGCGCGCAAAGCAATACGTTATCTTGAGCAGTAGCTATTGATCAACACAAGATGAATTCAACGTCAGCAGGGAAAAAAACTTGGGATGATTGAGAATCGGCTGTTATTCCACGTTTTCTTCAGAGTTACTGTGTTTTAATTGCCTTCTATCAAGAAGGGCTCCTTTTTCCTTTTGCCTTCCAAATTTGTAAGGGATCTTGTTCTATATCAGTCATGGCCCAAGATTACTCTTGGACAATTAATCTCGATATTCCTAAAGAATCATCTTATATTGTACACCACAAAGGCCAAAATTTGGTACACCAGAAACGGCTCAACCATAACTTTTGGTCGCGACCTAAATCGTTTATCTCAAAAGTTTCATTATTGTTCCACGTAAATCAATGGATCAAGTAATAGTTTACTTGGAGTTGTATGGCGAACTATTCGTTGTAGCCAATCGTTGTCAAGGGAGGTTCAACCGCAGATCGAGTGAATGTGCGGCCAAGGAATAGTAAATGGGAAAAAACAAAGGACCAAAGTTTTAAGGTTGGGCAAACCTCACGGGAAAGATAATTGTATTTGGGCCCCAGAATTCTTAATGGGCCTATAAGCTGGCTCATACACCACCCAATTAATTTAAATGGGTTCAGATGTCAGCCCATTTTTATTTCCACCTCCAGTTTTGGGCCGCTTTAAATTTAGTAAATTTTGGTATGTTATGGACCACTACGGATTCTATTGTTTGGGTTTTATTTAAGGTCTTTAGATAATGCCCTATCTCTTAACCGTTAGATCAATTTGATCAAATTATTTTGTTTGATCAAATGATTAATGGATAGGACCTCATATAGGAGCTTTAGATAAGGCCCTCACTATAGAATGACTCGTAAATATTTGGACTGCAAGGTTCAGTTATGTTTTGCTGGGCCGCTTGTCGTAATTCTTTAGCTCTGGGCAGCATATTTCAATTCTACAAATCAAATATTATTTGTTGGGCCGCCTTTTAAATATTTGGGCTTAATATTGGGCCAGTTTTCTATAATTGTGTATTGTTGGGTCGCTTTCTAACTTGAGCTTCCTTTTAATTATCTAGGCTTTATGCCGCATTTTTCAACTCTGAGCTTATTTTAACCTTAATTGGGCCTCTAGTAACAATTAAAGCCCAACTAGGTAGCAAATCAGTGGATTCATGTTAAGTTGCTCGCACCAAAACAAAAAAAAGGTTAAGATAATGTGCTAGTAAGTGGGGCGAGGTGTTCTGTTACAGGGCCCATAAAGCAAATTTTAAAACTTTGAGCTCACTTTGCTTTGATTGCGGCTTTGATTGGGGCGAGTTTAGATTTTTGTTATTGGGCCTGAAGACCATCATCAGACCATTACAACTTTTCGACTAATGTAGATAGGTCCAGTAAACTTCTAACTAATTGGGCCTATAAAATATAATTACAGGACTTCCAGCTCGGTCCAAAAAAAGGCCCAGACAATTCAAGCCCTTTATTGCCAAAACTTACTAAGGCCACAGACGTTTTAGTGCATTCATTTAATTTAACATCAATGAATAATAACCTGTTAGTGCATAACTTAAAAAGACCAGTGAAAGGGCTCACGGGACTGATTGTTATCTTACATCAAGCAAAAGGAAAATGTACTTGTATCTTCAAATAAAAATCAACATAAAAAACATGAAAGCGTAGGATCGGCCATAGATGAGAACCTCTGGAAAACAGAAACAACTACATTCTAAACTCTCGCTGATCGATCTGCTGCATCATTTGGTCTGAACCGTATATGAATCCCACAAAGCTGCAGCTTCAGCTGAGTAGTTGTACAAAGTAATGGTTCCTGCAAAGGGAACTCAGTTTTCCAGCCTGACACTGGAAAATAAGACAAATGAATGAAGGAATAAACAATAACCTCATTCAGTGAGAAAACATTCCATTTTTACATTTGGTACGTTTGTGTTGAAACATAAAGCTTGTATGGAGAATAAACCAGCAGATGCTCTCAGTCGTAAGGTTTCTCTTATAAGTACTATGAGTGTAGAAGTCACCGAATTTGAAAGATTGAAAGAAGACTATTCGATATGTCCAGATTTTAGGAAGGTATATGCTACACTTTCAGAAGACAAATCCAGAAGTAATGAATTTGTTTTACAAGATGGTTTTCTCTTCAAGAGTAATAAACTTTGCGTTCCCCGCATATCAGTACGAGACTTTCTAGTTTTGGAGTTGCATGCTGGTGGAGTAGCTGGTCATTTTGGGAGAGACAAAACCATTGCTCTTGTGGAAGACAGATTTTATTGGCCAAGTCTCAAACGTGATGTTGCTAAGATTGTGGAACGATGTCGTACTTGTCAACTTGCGAAACATGAAAGGCAAAATACAGGTTTGTACACTCCATTACTGGTACCCCATGTTCCATGGCAAGATATCAGCATGGATTTTGTAATTGGGCTACCTACGACACTGAGGAAGCACGATTCTATCTTTGTGGTTGTGGACTATTTCTCCAAAATGGCCCATTTCATCCCTTACTCTAAGACATTCGATGCTTCTAAAGTGGCTAAACTTTTCATGGATGACGTGGTTCATTTGCATGGTGTGCCTAAGACTATAGTATCGGATCGTGATGTTCGATTCATGAGTTATTTTTCAAAGACTTTATGGCGCATGATGAGCTAAACTCCAGTGCTAAGAATTGAATTGATTGAGGTTCTAATTAATCCACTTCAACGTTAAGAACCCAATGGGTTAGTCCAGCAGGCGTTTCAAAAGCCCATATGGGAATTTTTATGTCCAAACATTTTTCGCAGTATGGATGATGGATGATGGATGATGGGTGATGGATCAGTCAGTGTTAATCCAACAAGTTGATTTGCTTTTGCTTTGTATATTAATTGGTGTGGATGCAGTTTGATCGCTTTCTAAGAGCACCTTCAGTGTCCAACCCAAACTGGGTAAAAGGCTGCCAGAGAGAGCCCGAGATGGCTCCAGCGCCCAGCCCGTAGCCCGGTTTCATGGTGGGTCCCACGAGCCCGAGGAAGCCCAAGGGCAAGTTTTGCCCGGGCTGAAGCCCGAGTTTGGTGATGTCAGAGCTGGCGTCACGCTGACGCCAGCGCACGGTAACTCAAATTTTTTTTACTGTTGGCGCGTGAATTACACGCGCCAACGGTAAAAAAAATTTGACTTCCGTGCGCTGGCGTCAGCGTAACGCCATCACTGACGTCACCACCCGACAGCTCCAACGGGCGTGTGCCACGTGGCGCGACGAGGACTCGGATGGATTTTTTCCAGAAATCCGACGGTCCTCTTTTTTTGGCTAAAAAAATTGCAAAAAAAATCGAAAAAATTCTGAAATTTTTTTAAAAAAATACCCAAAAATTCTGTATTTTTTCTCTATAAATACATAACCATTTTATTTACTTTCCACACTAAATCTTCATACAATTTCTTCTCCATTCCATATTTTTTACTCTTTACTCACATTCGGGGCACGACGACGACGATGTTGCCTTGATTGATCCATCATACACACCGCTGCTGCAAGCAATTGTTCCTTTTCTTCATCGGCGTCCCAATCTTCTTGAGCACGTCTACGCCGGATTTCTTCCCTTTGTTTCTGTTGCCTCTCCAACACCCTCGACAAGTTTGACATTGAGAGTAGAATGTGTTTTCTAAAATCTGAGAAATGAAGGAATAGATAAGAGATGGTGTGAGAGGTATGAGTTGATGGTGTAGTTTTATAGAGGGATTTAGAAGATAGAGATGACACGTGGCACAATTTTAGATGATGAAAATCTTATCTAAAATTTGAGATTATAATTTTTTTTAAATATCTGAAAATCTTATCTGACATTTGACACGTGGCACAATTGTAGAGGGTGAAAATCTTATCTGAAATATGAGATTATAATTTTTTAAAAATATATGAAAATCTTATCTGACATTGGACACGTGGCACAATTTTAGAGGGTGAAAATTTTATCTAAAATCTGATATTATAATTTTTTCAATATCTGAAAATCGTATCTGACATGGGACACGTGGCACAATTTTAGATGGTGAAAATCTTATCTGAAAATTTAATTACAAAAAATTATCAAAATTAATGGTTTAAAGTATAAAAAAATAGGAAGTAAAGTACAATGAATAGTATTGCCTTAGACTTGCCCTAGACTTTGCCCTTGTGGGTGGAACCACAAATGCAAAGGCTGACACTATTCACATAAATAGTGGCAGCCCTTACTTGCCCTTGCCTTAGACTTAGCTCTTGTGGGTAGAGATGCTCTAAAGGGCTAGGCTAGTCAAAATTATGGCGACATAAACCACACACAATGAGCACACATTAGCACACATTCTTTTTGGCAAGTAACGCCCAACAAGAACTGATGCCTCAACTTCCAATGGGCGAAGGTTTTGACTCCTGAGGATTCGGCGTAAACAATGTTGTCATATGCTCGCCATGCCAATGCCATTGCCCCAAGGCTCCCAAAAAATCACGCTCCTTTTCGTTCTCTTTTAAACACAACATCAAACACTTCATCTTCACATTCGTCTTCGTCTTCGTCACATTCGTCTTCGTTTTCGTCTTCGTCTTCGTCTGCAGGAATAGGACGACGACTAGTATTTACCCAAACCCAACCGCCTTCAATCTCAATCTCAATCTCAAGCCCTCTCAAATCCCTTCGCTTTCTTTCCCGTAACGTTAATAAGAAGAAAAGGTCTTCCGTTCGCTCTCTTTCATTTCTTTCAAAACCTAGAATGGGCTCGCTTTGTGCCCTAGACGTGCCCTTGCAATACCCTAGAGTCCGCAGAGATGAGTCTGTTATCGATGACTACCATGGCGTCAAGATTGCCGATCCTTATAGATGGTATAGTACAACCTCCTCTTGTCTATATATTTCCCACCATTTTTTTTTTCGTTTGTTTGTTTGTATGGAAATTGAAATTCATTATCGAAGAAGATTTTCTTTCAAGGGTTTCAATAGTATGTAGCATTTGTACTTAGAGTTTCAATACAAAACCCTAGCATTTGTACTGCTTGTTATCTCAACGAGGATCAATCGCCGACTTCTTGATGCTGCTATTTATAAGAATTTGATCGAATTTTGATTTTCTGACTCTTTTGGATTTAATCTTTTAGGCTTGAAGATCCTGACTCAGAAGAGACCAAGGATTTTGTACAGAAACAAGTGGAACTGACACAGTCGGTTCTAAAGGAATGCGATACGAGAGGCAAGCTTAGTGAAAAGATCACCAAGCTTTTCGATCACCCACGCTATGATCCACCTTATAGGAAAGGGAATAAGTACTTTTACTCCCATAACACTGGGCTTCAAGCCCAAAACGTCATCTACGTCCAGGTTGGCCATTGGCTCTATATTTGATAATCAACTACATATAAATTCATTCATTCCTTCCTCTGTTTCCTTCTTCTTTCCTTATTTTCTTTCTGGGGGTTCATTTGTGGTTTTAGGACAGTTTGGATGGAGAACCAGAGGTTTTGCTTGATCCTAATACGCTCAGTGAAGATGGGACTGTATCTTTGAACACACATTCTGTAAGTGAGGACGCCAAGTACGTGGCCTATGCCCTTAGCACCAGCGGCAGTGATTGGGTAACAATCAAAGTGATGCAGGTTGAGGATAAGAAGATCGAGCCTGATACTTTATCTTGGGTAAGCGCTGGAGTTTATGTATGTTTTGATATAAAGTAATGTGTGTTCTCCATGGCACCCTTACCGAGATGAGCTTACTATTTTCAGGTCAAGTTTTCGGGCATTTCCTGGACACATGATAACAAAGGGTTTTTCTACAGCCGATATCCAGCTCCAAAGTAAGTGGAAATCATGTATCTTTACACTAAAAAGTTGTGGGCATGTGGATTTTGATGGAGTTCTCTAATTAGCATGGCTGATAGTTTGAGACTTTCAGTTAAATTAATAAGATACAGAATAAAAAAGTGACAGAATTGATGTAGATGCTCTTGTTTTACTTAATTTGGAGAATCCGAAGATGGTTAAATGGCTATTGCTAGGCTATGATTAGCTAAAGTTTGGGCTGTGAGTATAGAAATGTGGATATAATGGCACAAAAGAGTCATTGAAATTGAATTTATTTAGAAACTTAGAAACTATTATAGGGACAATGAATAGCTATGTTAGGTTTATTTTGATATTTCCTCGTTCGTTAGATTTGTGCAAAATAATGAAATTGAATTTATAGAACTGTTGATTTGTTCTATAGAGAAGGAAAAGATATTGATGCTGGGACAGAGACCAACACAAATCTTTATCATGAGGTTTACTATCATTTCGTGGGTACAGATCAATCAAAAGACATACTATGCTGGAAGGATCCTGAAAATCCTAAATACTTGTTTGGAGCCAATGTTACTGCTGATGGGAAGGTAGGTCGATTTTGTTATCTTCCTGGATTTTATGGCTCTGTTAGAGTCCTTTTCTTCTTGTTGAAGCAGTAGGATTCTTGTACTTAAAATGAAGCTTAAAGTTAAGACGTGTCACCTGCTCTCTCCATATAGTTTTGTGATTTTGCATTAGAATGGGGTTTAGAGTTGAGGTCTCACCCAGAAACTCTGCCCAGTGGTGAAACTGCTCAATGTATACAATTTGTAGTCTGTGTAGAGAAAAGATTCAGTGACTCATTTTCTGTAGAAAAGGGCCCTCTGTGTGTAATAGAAGCATGTATCATATCGGGTTTTAAGTGCTATTAATACTGGCAACTTAGCAACCAAGATGCATCACCTTTGGAAAATCGTAGTAATGACACGCATTTTGAGTCAGAAATACTGGCTGTTGTCTGTCCAAGATACTGTTAGGGAAGTATCATTTCCCTTGTAAATGGGCATTTAAGTCTTATCCTTCTGTACGCCATTTTGTCATTCACATTTACGTCTTTAGATCTTTTATTTTTTGAACAGAATCTGTTAAAGGATACTATAATAGCCACCACACTATTGATGGCGAATTAGGTGTGAATACGTTAATGATCTCTCACCATACAGAAAATGGTGCCAGATTCCAAGAGTTTCATATTGAAGCATTTGGGCCATGGTTGTAAGATGGATCTAATGACGTGGATGTTACAGCTCAATATATTTATGATAAAAACGTGGATATTAAATTCTTATATAATTTTTCTAGTTTTTTTCCAATGTGAAACACCCCTTAGAAATTGCCATTTTTGTTTTGATTAGATTGTTGTATGGCTTAGAAAAAGCAGATTTATTGTAATATTATTTTGAACTAACTTTTTTTTTCTTTCTGGTACTCTGTAATCTACAGTATATTATTCTATCTATTACTGAGGGTTGCGACCCAGTCAACAAATTTTATTACTGTGACATGTCTGCACTTCCTAATGGGCTTGAAGGTCTAAGGGAGAAAAATGATTTGCTCCCAGTTCTGAAGCTTATTGATACATTTGATGCAATGTATGATCTCATTGCAAATGATGACACTCTGTTTACTTTTCGGACAAACAAAGATGCTCCAAAATATAAGTTGGTCCGAGTTGATCTAAAGGAACCAACTGTTTGGACTGACGTTCTCCAAGAAGCTGAAAAAGATGTACTTGAATCAGTATGTGCTGTGAATGGTGGCCAAATGATTGTTAGTTACTTGAGTGATGTGAAGTATGTACTACAGATTAGGGATTTGAATTCAGGTAACTTGCTGCATCAATTACCCATTGACATTGGCTCGGTTAGTGGGATTTCTGGAAGACGTGAAGACAGCACTGCTTTTTTTGGGTTTACGAGTTTTCTCACCCCTGGTATAATATATCAGTGTAATTTAGCGAACGAAATTCCGGACATGAAGGTATTTCGTGAAATTACAGTTCCTGGGTTTGATCGCTCAGAGTTCCAAGTTGATCAGGTACTAGAGCTTGTTGTACTGACATTTTAGTGTCACTAGCTTGCTCTCATTCTTTCTATGTACCTTCAATTTCTTATCACATGCAGTATTTCATTCACTATATGATGGGTTTTTTCATTATCCAGGTATTCATTCCCAGTAAGGATGGAACTGAGATACCAATTTTTGTCGTGGCCAGAAATAACATTCCTTTGGATGGATCACACCCGTGCTTGCTATATGGATATGGTGGATTCAACATTAGTATTACGCCTTATTTCAGTGTTAGTCGTATTGTACTTACAAGACATTTAGGTGCTGTTTTCTGCATAGCAAATATCCGTGGTGGTGGGGAGTACGGGGAGGAATGGCATAAATCAGGCTCCCTAGCTAAAAAGCAAAATTGCTTTGATGACTTCATTTCTGCAGCTGAATACCTGGTATCTGCCGGTTATACCCAACCCAGCAAGTTGTGTATCGAAGGTGGAAGTAATGGTGGGCTGCTTGTTGGAGCTTGCATAAATCAGGTGTGGCATTTTTAGTTTTGTTTACTATTAAATCTGTAGTGAGTGATTTATATGAAAAAAAATGCCTTCTCGCAGAGACCCGATCTTTTTGGTTGTGCACTAGCTCATGTTGGTGTTATGGACATGCTACGGTTCCACAAGTTTACCATAGGTGAATTTACTTCCTTCGGGTCTTCTAAGGGTTTTTTTTTCTTCTGGTTGCAACATATGTTTGATGTAGAAGAGTTTCTCAGGTCATGCATGGACTTCTGATTATGGCTGTTCTGACAAGGAGGAAGAATTCCAATGGTTAATTAAGTGAGTACTGTTTTGTTTACATTTTCTCTCTTCATTTGGTGGTGTTGAGGTGTATCTGAGTGCAGTCCTGTTTTGGTTAGGGCAATGTTTTAAAATTCTGTAGAAGTATTTCACTGCCTTGTTTTAGTCTCAATTCTGTGATGGATAGTGATGGTAGGATAAAGTATTGCTCCAATTCACATTTGCTTAGAACTCCATAAACAAGATTTCTCATTCTTTGTTGGAATGAGTGTGATTGTTAGGATAAGAGGGATTGCAGTACATATTTATGCATTATGCTTGATGCGCCTCTTCATCAGTCTTCTTCTTACTAGGCAATTTGTGAGCATGTTTTGTTCCGATTTCTGTGACAGGCTCAGATGTCTTGGTGGTTCTTGTAAATATGAATACGAGCTTATCCCTCCCTCCCTTCTACTTTCAGGTACTCGCCTTTACACAATGTCAGGAGACCATGGGAACTGCATGCAAGCCAACCTCCCCAGTACCCATCTACCATGCTTTTGACTGCAGATCATGATGATCGAGTCGTACCATTGCACACGTTGAAGTTATTGGCAGTGAGTCTCTTTTGCGATAGAATCTACGAGTCTTTTATTTATTTGTGCATTTGTCTGTTTCAGTTGTGTGTTATTCTCTTTTATTGATTTTGTGCTTTTGTTTGTTTCAGTTGTGTGTGTTATTTTCTCTTCAATTGTATAATTGATTCTCTTTATTTTTAGACCTTGCAATATGTTCTGAGCACAAGTTTGGAGAAAAGCCCACAGACCAATCCGATTATTGGTCGCATTGAATGCAAGGCTGGGCATGGAGGCGGACGTCCAACCCAGAAAATGGCAAGTATCTGATTGAGTTTATATTGTCATTTATGGTCCCGACCATTGTATTTATATATGGCTCTTGTATTTACAGATTGATGAAGCTGCAGACCGGTATAGTTTCATGGCTAAGATGTTGGGTGCATCTTGGATAGAGTAGTAGTTTTATCGATGCTTGACAACAAAGATGAAAAATAAGAGTTGATGGCTAAGTTGGGTGCATGCTGTAGTCGACCTCCTGGGATGATTGAGAATCGGCTGTTATTCCACGTTTTCTTCAGAGTTACTGTGTTTTAATTGCCTTCTATCAAGAAGGGCTCCTTTTTCCTTTTGCCTTCCAAATTTGTAAGGGATCTTGTTCTATATCAGTCATGGCCCAAGATTACTCTTGGACAATTAATCTCGATATTCCCAAAGAATCATCTTATATTGTACACCACAAAGGCCAAAATTTGGTACACCAGAAACGGCTCAACCATAACTTCTGGTCGCGACCTAAATCGTTTATCTCAAAAGTTTCATTAATGTTCCACGTAAATCAATGGATCAAGTAATAGTTTGCTTGGAGTTGTATGGCGAACTATTCGTTGTAGCCAATCGTTGTCAAGGTAGGTTCAACCGTAGATCGAGTGAATGGGCGGCCAAGGAATAGTAAATGGGAAAAAACAAAGGACCAAAGTTTTAAGGTTGGGCAAACCTCACAGGAAAGATAATTGTATTCGGGCCCCAGAATTCTTAATGGGCCTATAAGCTGGCTCATATACCACCTCATTAATTTAATGGAGTTTCACTAAAACACCCAAAATGGGAGCTGAAATTATAAAAAAAACCCGACACCCAAAACACTTTATAAACACACCCAAAACCCATCATTACACACACTCAAAATCCATTGATAAACACACCAAAAAAATATACAATTGTTGATTTTGGGGTTGATTTTTGGTGTGTTTCTATTTTTAATTTAAATGGGTCCAGATGTCAGCCCATTTTTATTTCCACCTCCAGTTTTGGGCCGCTTTAAATTTAGTAAATTTTGGTATGTTATGGACCACTACGGATTCTATTGTTTGGGTTTTATCTAAGGTCTTTAGATAATGCCCTATCTCTTAACCGTTGGATCAATTTGATCAAATTATTTTGTTTGATCAAATGATTAATGGATAGGACCTCATATAGGAGCTTTAGATAAGGCCCTCACTATAGAATGACTCGTAAATATTTGGACTGCAAGGTTCAGTTATGTTTTGCTGGGCCGCTGGCCGTAATTCTTTAGCTCTGGGCAGCATCTTTCAATTCTACAAATCAAATATTATTTGTTGGGCCCCCTTTTAAATATTTGGGCTTAATATTGGGCCAGTTTTCTATAATTGTGTATTGTTGGGTCGCTTTCTAACTTGAGCTTCCTTTTAATTATCTAGGCTTTATGCCGCATTTTTCAACTCTGAGCTTATTTTAACCTTAATTGGGCCTCTAGTAACAATTAAAGCCCAACTAGGTAGCAAATTAGTGGATTCATGTTAAGTTGCTCGCACCAAAACAAAAAAAAGGTTAAGATAATGTGCTAGTAAGTGGGGCGAGGTGTTCTGTTACAGGGCCCATAAAGCAAATTTTAAAACTTTGAGCTCACTTTGCTTTGATTGCGGCTTTGATTGGGGCGAGTTTAGATTTTTGTTATTGGGCCTGAAGACCATCATCAGACCATTACAACTTTTCGACTAATGTAGATAGGTCCAGTAAACTTCTAACTAATTGGGCCTATAAAATATAATTACAGGACTTCCAGCTCGGTCCAAAAAAAGGCCCAGACAATTCAAGCCCTTTATTGCCAAAACTTACTAAGGCCACAGACGTTTTAGTGCATTCATTTAATTTAACATCAGTGAATAATAACCTGTTAGTGCATAACTTAAAAAGATCAATGAAAGGGCTCTCGGGACCAATTGTTATCTTACATCAAGCAAAAGGAAAATGCACTTGTATCTTCAAATAAAAATCAACATAAAAAACATGAAAGTGCAGGACTGGCCACAGATGAGAGCCTCTGGAAAACAGAAACAACTAGGTTCTAAACTCTCACTGATCGATCTGCTACATCATTTGGTCTGAACCGTATATGAATCCCCCAAAGCTGCAGCTTCAGCTGAGTAGTTGTACAAAGTAATGGTTCCTGCAAGGGGAACTCAGTTTTCAAGCCTGACACTGGAAAATAAGACAAATGAATGAAGGAATAAACAATAACCTCATTCAGTGAGAAAACATTCCATTTTCACATCTGTTACATCAAGCCGCAGTATCTCTGCTCTACAAGTAAGAATTGATCCAATGCTGCAAAAGACGAAGGGAAGCCATTCTGATCAACAGAACATAAAGAGCAGAGTCCCCAGCCAGTCAAAAGAAGGGATTTCTAATGTCCCAAACCCTAACCTCTCAAGGGATCATGATGACCAAGACAGAACCCTAACCTCTCAAGGTCCAGGTGATTAAAAAATAAATTATACCTAGGTTGGGTGCGTCCGAGGTCCCCATGAATGAATTCCTTGATATATGTTCCAGCCTGTGCTGCAAAGACATATATAAGTGTTCTGTTCCATACATACGAATTTAAAGAGTCACTCTTCCATTAAAATCAGAGGCCAAAATTCAACTAAATAAGTAAATAAGATATACATGCATAAAGTATTTTTAATGCCGGTTTAATGTGAAACATGAAAAGAATGGAGGTTTCAATCTTACATTAAAATTTGAATTTTTGTGATATTTTCAATGCATAAAGTATTAAAACTTTATATGTCATAAGTACTGAAACCTGAAACACTTGTTTCCTGAACATATTTGATTACCAAAACCTAAGGTCCATGATTTTAATAAAAAGATGCTGGCAAACAAATTTTAGCTCAATCAAGTTCATTGATTCAGTTTTACTTTCATGCTAAGAAGCTATAAAAAGTTTACCTGCGTACATAGATGCAGAAGGAAATACTGAGAACTTCCAACAATCCTCTCGATTCTCATCCTAAATTGGAAAGTAGAGAAACACTGTTTCAGATTAAAAACATGATAACATCTAGAACATTATTGTGCCATAAAATTTGAACAATCCACAAACCAATGTATGATCTTTTCACGTTCTAATGGACTTCGGCGATGCAGCACCCTGATTGGAGTCCTCTGCAGAATATGCTATACAAAATAAATAGATATCAGACGGAATTTCAATTAAGGAAAGCTTTGAAATCAAGGAACATTATTTGCCCAACAAAAACTATAGAAGATTTCCTCAGTCATAAGAACTAACTTATAAAATACTAAAAGAGAACAAATGATATATATTTAAGCAACGACGAATGAACAAAAAGAAAAGTAAGAATAGTTCATAACAAATTTGGAGAAACCCTTGACATTTTTTTATTGCTTATTACTCATAATTAGTGGACACAATGTGAATTAGTGTTCACAGGCAAGGTCCTTTCTACATAAAATCTTTTCCATGCATCATATTATGTCATGCTTTAGAGTTGATGATAAACAAGTAGAAAACTGTTATGAGGCTTAAAGATAGCTCACCATGTCTTCAAGTGAAGATATAGACTGCAAGTCTTCATCCTTGAGAGGACGAGAAATCCACACTAGCGCAGTGTATTGCTTCTGCATGCAAATACAAGACAATATAACAAGGCCATCAACATGGGATGGGAAGAAGGGGTAGGGGAAAAGAGAAAATAAATAAATAAATGAAGAAGAAGAACAAACCTGTTTCTCTGCTTCCCCTTCACGCATCAGTTCCCACGACTGACTGCCTACCAGTTTCAGATTTTTCACACCTACCTGCATCCATAATGTGTTCTTTTGTTATTGCTCAATGACAGGAGAAACAACAATGTTGATTTGACAGTGAGCTCACCAGTTTCTTTTCCAAGTTATTTATCTTCGTTTCCAAAAATTTTACAGACTCTTCAGATGGGATATAGCGTGCGTTTTGTATTTCAAGGAGGAAAGGCCTTCCAGAACCCAACATCCGAACCTAAAAAGATACATACTTCAGAATTTACTTATTAACTCAAACTGCAGTACAAAAAAGCAGATTTCCATTACATCTATATCTTCTCTGCCAGCAGCATGAAACTTATAGTTATCACCACGACATAGAGGAAGAATGTTGCTACCTAGTATCTCCTATACAGGAAAACACAAATAAATGTCAAGATTTCCACCATTGTTTCCAGAAGAACAAGCCAAATTAGAAAGACTGGCCAATATTTGGAAATATTACCTCGACAGATGCTTCTCCCATTCTCTCATCATCAATAATCCAACAGGTTTGACTCACATTTCTTGAGTACTGTAACATAAAGAGTAATTAGCATTGATTACCTTTTGGCAACCACAAGATTAGCTAATGACACAAAGCAACTACAATGTTAGCTAATGAAGCAGACACAACCTCAAGACTAGGTTAATGACACTGAGGTTAGTATTCAGACATAGAAATAATAACAAAACATCTCAAACCCATTTTTCCATCTTTGGATAGAAGATCCAGGCATCCCTAAAGATGTATAAGTACACATACACACAAACTACATTATATCTCTTGCTTTGAGAGAGAGAGAGAGAGAGAGAGAGATGGCTTTACCACAATAATTAATATGAGAATAATCTTAACACCTTTCTGGCATCCTAGTAAGTAAACAGGTCGAAAGTAGATTTGGATGCGCCCAAATATGCCTAAAACTTGGGTCTGCTCAGATAAGCTAGTCTGTCTGAGACAGGAAAAAATAAACTAGCCTACCTTCAGGTATCTCCCACCAACGTAGATTTGCGTCCGGTAGCAGTGAAACTCCAAACAGCAGGGTTCATTGGACTAGAATGGATAAATGAAAAGTGAAATTACAATCAACATCATAAACAAGGTTTTTTTAAACAAAGATTGAGCCAAAAATACTGACTAGAAAAGTGAGATAGATAAATGATTCAGCTCTGATACCAAGCTAATGCTTGAAACTAAAAAGGCAGTCTCATACTTGTACCCTATGTACATCCAACAGAACAAATCTTAGCACTTATTGTCTAGTAACACAAAGAAAATAACAGTAACTCTCACATTAAGTTCACTCATCATTGTACCCCCATCACATCACATCCAAAAATGGCAATTATAGTCTTCAGATCATTCGAAAAAATGGAACTCTCAGCAACCAATACCAAACAAAATTCCATTAGAGTACCTGCCCTAATGGTAACTTCAGGCACTCAGACGATTCATTAGCTTGCAAACTCACAAAAGACCTTTCAACAACGGCACCAGCTTCAATTGGTGGGCCAGAGCATTTGATGTCATCATCAATTGTGTTCAAACCATTTCCAGCGCCTGTAACAATAACAGTAAATAGCTATCGAACAGTGCTAAAATTCTACTCCAGTGATAATATTTTAGAATTCTATAACATTACAAACACGCATGCCATGTACATAAGTTCTCAATTATGGGTTTAAACGCATATGGAGCGCTGAATCTGAGATCACTCTGAAATTTGCAATAAAAACAGGAACAAGTGGTGGTAGTATAAAACTGAACATGCCTGTTTTTCTTCTTTTACCTCCGTGGCACCCCTCTACAGAATTCTCAACTGTTTTTGATGATATACGGTGAGTGTATGTTAAACGGATGCGGAAAGCGCTTATGTTGGATTTACAACCCTGCAAAACTTCAATTCATCCTAGATTAAATTGACTATTCGTATCTTTTATGAATCATATAAAATTCACTGTTCTCAATAAAAACCTTTTTTATTTTCTTTTCAAATTATGTCATATAAATAACAGAATTAGAATCTGAAAGAATCTTTGCATACCAACATTGTTTCAAGGGATTCCATAAGAGAAATTTTTAGAGCATCCTTCGCAGAAATGCATTCAGAAATTGATTTTCCTTGGAACCAAAGTTCAGATTCATACTTTCTTTTCATATACAACCTACAAAAGAAAATGAAGCATTAAAGCAACCTATATGTACAAAGAGCTCAAATAAAAGAAACTTAAATGTGGACTAAATAGAAATTTAACTATACTTGGGATGTAGAATGTTAACTAGGTTCACCATATTTCAGAAATGTTCCAAAGTTCAAAAGTCAAAGAGCTTTTCTGTGAAACTACAAATCTTACCAAACAGTGTGATCGTTTTCCAGGACAATTGGAGGTATAGACACTTCAAGAGAATAGCTGTCAATCTCAAAGCCCTGTTGCCTAATCAGACTGGAAATGGAAACAGCCAACTCATTAGCGCTCTCCTTTTCCGTCACCAACTTCTTATCCTCCCAATAAGTGAACTGCAAGATTCCCAAACAAATGCTACAAACTACCGGTTCTCTGAAATTACCATCCACCATATGTTTCTCCGAACATGTTGAATCTCCAAGAAGTGAACTCAACATTGACGGTGATAGTGAAGAACGATAATAAACATGCTCTCTGATCCCAAATAATCGCAAAATGCATCTGGTGCATACCTACAACAGAAAAACATATATATCTAATCTGAAAATTTCAAAAGCATTTTAATAATCTATTGAGGACATTTTAGCCGCATCTACTTAGAAGGTGAATACTCGTCTACCCGTAGTAAACGAGCCTCAACAATACAGATGCAAAAGGTTTAACATAATCCAGTACGATCAATCTTTAGAAGAATATGAGCCCAAAAAAATCTGAAGGAATGACATTTGAAGAACCGTAATTGGCTACCACTACAATAAACTCCATATATGGTAAATTCCTAAGCGTTGTTCTAAACGTAAAGAAACACTTGAACTAATACAGGAAAAGCCAAGAAGAGAAAAATTAGGGTAACGGAGATCACCCCTATGGACAATAAGTCTATCACGGCGCGAACGGGCAACTCTCGGACCACATCGCAGAGAGCTCGTACATTGTCGCCATTAACGGTGGACTGTGAAGCCTCTTCAGTGTCGCTTGGCATTTCGAAAAGCCCTAAAGCGCAGTCGAAGATTTGTACTTGTCAGAAAGAAGACTCAGTTTTAACGTTTATGCCAAAAACGCGCGTATCTGATAGAAGCACCTAGCTTTGTAAATTGTATGAACATTACAAGAAGAAAAGAGTATTTGCGGCCCTACTTGAATGGAAAGGGCAAAAATGTCCGGGTTGAGTACCACCAGACCAGCCCATAAATAAAAGCTAAAGTAAAGGTAATTACCAAAAGAAAAAAGAAAAATTATGTTAAAAGCCCAACAAACTTCAAATTTTATATTGGCCTCTGGAAATTATAAATAAATAAATAAATACATATTGAAGTGGCCTCTAAAATCATCTAAAGGACCTTATAATTCACAATTATGTAATTTTTCTGCAATACATAATAAGTGAATTACTATTAGTACGCCAAATGAGGTGTAAATATTAAAAAATTTAAAATCATTTTTTATTTTTTATTTTTTTTAAATGTATACACCGAATATTTCCCTTTTTGTTTGTGGAACCTCGTATTATTATTTCCTGAGACATGAGAAGTGTCAATTGATAGTAAAAGGTTCATAACCCTGTAATATTTCCTTTATTGTTTACAGCATCAATACACGACAGAGACACGCTTCATATGCTTATTTAGTACAAAATACATATGTAAATAAACAAGTGTTTTACAGCGACGAAGATAAACCATGGAGATCCACATATCCAGAAAGCACTGTCCGGCTTCGTTCTTTCACCTTTGTTTGATATATGACCCTGCATATTTGAACACTAACATTAACTCGATTTGGTTTATAATAAATGATTCACAGAGACCAATGAATGAGACACAAATCTACCTTAAGCCTTCAAGCCACATTTCAGTGAGCAAAGTTTCACCAGGGTAGACATGTAAAAGGAATCGGCCTGATATGCATTTGACCAGGTTTGGATCTCCTCTGCAAATGCATTTCACAATCGCCCTAACTGAAAATCCAAGTGTGCACAAGCCATGCAGTATCGGCCGTGTGAATCTTTGACAATGCAATACAAAGATGTTAGATAAATTTAAATTTTGGGTTCATTTTGGATCTATGGTACAAATGAAAGTTGAAAAACCAGAACAAGTAAAACATAGCTCATTTCAAATACAATTGACTCAGAACTATATAAAGTATACTGCTATCAAAGTCGGCAAAGCCTGAGCAAATGAGAAGAGAAAACATGACCAGGCAAAGAAATTAATTGGCCACAGTTATTGTAGGTAATGAAGAAAAAATGCGCAGTATTAGTTGGCTACAGTATGACTCCTAGCATGTTGAGACAAAACAGCATCATAGGATCTGAAAGCGGATTATGACCTACACAAAATTAAAAGAAAAAACTTAAACAAAAGCCCATCTATGTAATTAAGTGGGAAACCAACCCTGCAACTTTTGCGAATGTAGGATCTGAATGCAGAGGATTATAATCTCCAGATAGCCTATACAGCAATGCCTGCAGAAAGTCATAAAGAGGTCAAAAGATTCTACGTAGTTATATTTATATAAAAACTGAATGTATCCAAACCATAAATTGAACATGTTCATCACTCATAAAGATGAATAGAATACTATTCTTTTTGTTTATCTTGAATATGCTATTTAAAGAAAATGCATTTTTAGATTTAAAGCAAGCACAAGCCATTAATAGCTGCCTATTACTCGAGTCCTGGGCATACAAGCAGCATTGTGATCACCAATTGGGAAGTAGGTTGACAAAGGGGAAACTAACAGAATTGGACCATAGCTTTGTTAGAACTCAACCACTTTTAATTCTGTAGGAAAAAGGACCAAATGCCATATGAAATAGGAGCATGATCAAGGAAAATACTTAACTAAAACTAGGAGGTATGAGACAATGACTTTCATTCTTGCAATAATGAAATAAATGCTACATGCCTGAGATGGTTGTGTACAATCTTCAAACACTACAAAAGGTTGACCTTTTGGGATTTTCACAGATGGAACCTTGTCCTTTGGATAGTTTGAATATGAATATGGATGAGATGATTTTGAGAAGCCACCAGCACCTCTCAGAAAGGCAGTTGTCCTGGAAAGAAACACCTCAGCTGTGTCAATTGTATTGCAGTATTAGATCAGCTATCTCAAATGAGTACTTACCGATTCATGCACAACAATGCACCAGAATCTTTGTCGTAACTTTTTGTTTCAATCTCAAGAATAGCAGCTTTACCTGCAAAGAAAATTATCAACAACAAAAAAACTAATTATAGCATTACTATCTCTATAAACAAAGGGTTTAGGATAGTGATTATTTAAAGTGTGACTTCACTTTGGAAAAAGAAAGGATAGTGATACTTTAAAGTGTGATTCTTTACCCTATCTCTATAAAGTGACTTCATTTGGAACTTCATATAACAGATGCGAACCTTCATGTAATATATAAACACATCAAACAGATACCATGCATCTTGCTTATATTTCTCCGAAGAACCTTCAAGTCAAACTTCCTCATACTAGCATGCATATGATTCTGCAAGTTACTGAAATAATAATATGCTTCTGCTAACATATACAAACCTTTATCATGGAGTCCAGCAAGACTCACAGTATTTTTTAACTGCCAAAAAAAAAGCAACATAAAATAAAACTTATTCTCTCTTCAAAGAAACAAATGGACGATAAACAAAACCAAAAATAATAAATTTAAAAAAACAAAAATTTGATTTCACAACAAAGTAATCACTAAAAGAAATAAAAAAAACTATCAACTTAGGATGCTACTTTTTTTATCTACAACTCAAAATGCTATTAAAAGCAAGGTTAATGAGCAATGAATCAGTTTCATTCCAAAATTAAGCAATTTTTTGGCAGCCATGTCGGTTGGGCAGAGACTTTTACTGCACTTAGACAAGTTATTACATACAGGTGGTAGAAAAATTAAGCAATTCTAGAGAAGGTTCACAATGTAAAGAAGCCAGAGCTACTGCACGTTCAGGCATAAAATACAGCTTATAGTAAAAGGCCATACACAAGCATTTGAAGGAAGTGGCTTGTATAATTCTATGTATTGTTGTCCATGCAGCAAAAGACGAGGATCATATCTGGTGGCAACAAAAACCAGAAATTCCAGTCAGCAAAAGAAAAATAAAATCAGAATTTCATGAACCACCGAGCTAGTGTAAATTCAAGCATTACACATGAAATGTGTAAAGGGGGCCTTATCATCTAGACTTACTTCAACCCTGGCAGACCTAAACCACCTGGCAGAGATCCAAGCGAGAACAGAGCAGCAAATGTTGGCAAGACCTAGTGAAAATAGCAACATTATTTATGCTATGGATATGTTTTGTAAATACAAACAAAGACGCAGCTCGCAGCAGCATGTTTGTACAATTATCTCAAATGATTCTACTAGACGAAATAACTCCAATTATGATTCAATGAAAAAGCAACTTGATTATATCATTAACACCTGGATAAACTTCTGGCCCTTGTCATGGTAAACAAATTTAAGTTGGTCGACGTCCACAGCATCCCGGGCGCAAGCTCCAATACCCAACGCATAGAGCGCTACATCTCTGCCAATTTACAAAGGGTAAGAGTATAGACTAAACATTTCAATGGCCAGGTAATTCCATGATTTTACAAAAAAAAACACTGCTCTGAATCAGATAGAAACGCTTAAGCGTACCTCTCCGAATAGGTGTAAGTCGTCTGACGTTCCAAATCAATATATGCAACAACATGAGACACAAAGAAAAAGAAGGGGAAAAAAGTTACAAGAAACTATGATGGCAAGCAAAGTGGATCGCTATACAAAAATTAGCCGAAAAGTAGATTAATTCAAGAGTTGAGAGCTGTGTAGAAAATGCAATTAACAAAGCATGAAAAACAAAGAGATGCGTACCTCAGGGAACTTGTAAGACTCGATACGATCAGGATCGAACTCCGACGCATCCGACGACATCGCGACACTATATCTGTTTGCAAATTTGGGGTGTATTGTAAGAAGGAGGATAGGATTGGGAAGATTCAAGATAATGTCAGCTGGGCCGTCTTTCGTGCCAACAGTGACAGAGTCACCACATTCAATAAACGTCTCTATTCAGCTTTCTGAGTTCATTGACCAAATATTATTTTGTTTTTTTTTTCATTTTATTACCGCTGCGCTGGATTGACTTTTTTTTTGTTTGTTTGTTTCTTCAATGGACTGACTTCTTTTTGGTGATAAAGACGGTTTCACTTTCAACTTGAAAAATGCAAACATATAGTAAAAATATGTTCACCTAAAACCGGTGCGTTTTCAATCCAGTCATTTTGTTAATGTTGTTTTGCTTAAATCAACCACGAGAACGAAAGCAATAAAACAGCGAATGATAGTTATAGTTGAGAAGAGAAACGTAAAACAGAGAAATCATGAAATTAATACTCTGCAAAAGGTAAAAAAATAAAACAAAAACAAAGCCCCCCACCCCACCGGCCATTGCTTTCTTTTTCACGAAAACTAGATAGAAATCCAAAATTAAGTGCTCACTTACAATTACGACCATATCGAAAACTCATTTCTCCAAAACTTTAAATCCCATCTTCTAACAATAACATAAACATCCAAATCATACATAAACTATGCCGAGACAAGGGCAGACGTCAAAATACATTTGTTTCTTCAAATTGTTCTATCCAGCCTTTCACATTCTATCTTCTCTCTTCCGAGGTGCACATGTGATGATCTCATCAACTCTAAGAATCATCTCTGCAGCCTCTGTTGCAGACAGCAAGACGGCCTGCTTGACTTTAAATGATTCAGATATGCCTCGTTCTGCCATGTCTCCTACCTGCCAGAATGTCAAAAATTGCCACGCATAAATTAAAGATGACAATCCAGAAAAACGGATTGAAGAGGTTTCCAGGCATCATATACACCTAAAATGTCCTATTTCTGTTTTTTTTTCATTTTCTTTATTTGGGTACTTACAGCTCCAGAGATGACATCAATCCCCGCAGTGCATCCTTCTTTATGGTGCTCTGCACGTAGCTTTGCAATCAACTCAGCACTGTCCAAACCAGCATTGTCAGCAATGATAGTAGGAATGGCTGAGAGTGCCCTCGAGAAAGCTTCAATAGCGTGAGATTTCTTTCCAGGAGTCTTCCTGGCTAGCTCATCAACTTCCTTTGCCATAATCATCTCAGGCCATCCACCTCCGAGTAAAACCCTGCTGTCATTGACTGTCTGAGACAGCACACACAAGGCATCATGCAGAGACCTCTCAGCCTCGTCAAGCACGTGATGACTGCCAAAGAAATACAAACATGTCATTACAAGTCACAAAACTGTCAGACGAGAATCACATACTAATAGTAGAACTGCCTGCCATTACAAGTCACAAAACTAATGCATGCAAACTAAATTTTGGGATTCCAAAGGGCGTGGATGCAGATCAAACCAATCAATAAAATTCAATTAATGAGGTCTTAATTGCCTCATGAACAAAAAGTTAAACTATGGCTGCATGCAAGATAAGCATTGAGAAATACTGTACTCCATTTCATGTTTTGAAACACACAAACCAAGTTAAAAATGCCGAACTGAATTGGCAGGGAACAATTATAAAAAAATACCTTGCCCCCCTCAACACTATTGTGCATGCCTGACCCAGTTCAACGCCAGAAAAGTGGATCAACTTGTCCTCACCGATCATAATTTCCTCAATGAGTTTGCAGTGCCCAAGCTTAACTGACTCTGGATTATCAAAAGTTGATGCAATTTCACCACCAGTTACTAAGGCCAAACGCTCAATCCCATCAAAATCAGCATGCTCAATTGCAAGTATTCCTGCATCTGCAAAGAGCTCCTCCGGGAAATTGTAGATCAACTGTCTGTTGACAAAACAGTTAATCCCGTGAGCTATTATCTTTTGCACTTTTTCTCTCATTTTTTCTTTCTCAGCCCCTTCAATTTCAGCAACCTTAGACATTGAGTCAACACGAACACGTGCCCCATATATCTTTACTTTGTCTGTGTCCATTGCTGTATTTGCAACCAAAATTTTTGCATTCTCTATGCGCTTGGGCTGACCAAGACCTATTTTCTTGTCAAGAATAAATCTGAACAAGAAAAACAGAAGTAACGAAGAAGACATGCATGAGAAAATAAGGACCAGCATATGTCTCCAAACAATGAACAACAAGAAATTTACAGATCATTTCATCTGTGCAGATAAATTGATAACAAAAGACACAAAGATCTCGAAGACTACATTATAGAAATCCCAAAATATTTGAGTTCATAAGAAGCTCAAATGTTCATTGCTCTTCTTACCCTTCATCTAAGAAAGAATCTTTCAGTGATCCCCCGGGCTTCTTTATAATTTGGATCGCCTCTAAGTTGGTGCTCCCCTGCCATTGCAAACAGCCTTGTGAAACAACATGAAGATACAAGAAAAGTAATTGTTTGCAGCATGAAGATTGAACCTTAACTACCAAATGTTAAGTCATAATCACCTTTAGCCGCATTACAGCATCCACTGCTAGCTGTGCGAAGTGTTCCTTATCCTGAGAAAGAATTTTGGAGCTCAAAGTGGTCATTGCAATCTTCATTAGGTCTGACTTAAATTTCTCTGCACAATCCAGTGATGTCTTCAATTATTACAAAATCTCAAGGAAAATATAACGGAAGCACAACCAAGCAATTTCAGCAAGCAGTATACATCAAGATCAAGCACATTGAACTCATTAACTAAACATCATGCACCTGAATAACTCATATCAGCAGTTGTGAAAATAAAGTTGATCCACGAAGAGATATAATTGGTGAATGATACAGAAGAAAAAGATAAATCACTGAAGCCAAAATGACGGCACTTAAATTCAAAATAATAAGCTGCAGTGAATACCAGAATCGGCCTTATTATCCACAACCTTCTGCAACAAAGCATCGCGAGCACATTCAGCTGCCATGCGATAACCTGACAATCAAACATACAGCATTTTTCACATGCATCACATAAGTAGTGTAAGGCTAAGATATGAACCTATTAACAAGTTCAGATACTGAAATGAAAATAAAGCTAAAGGGAAGTGTATAGGTTTTGGTCAACAGAAAACACAGAATCATATTCACTCTCTGTGTGTGTGAGAGAGAGAGGGAGAGAGAGAGTGATGTTCGTGCAGAAACCTAGGACAAACCTGATATGATTGTCATTGGGTGAATCTTTGATGCAACGAGCTTTTCTGCCTCCCTTAAGAGTTCCCCCGCCAAAACAACAACAGAAGTTGTCCCATCACCAACCTCGTCATCTTGAACTTTTGAAATATCTGACTCGTGTATTAAAGATCATTACAAAATGCGATATGAAATCTATTTCCACCAGTCATGATTAATTTCAATAACTAGGTAGTTAAGACACAGATAACTTGCAAACAAAGGCTTTGACCAAGTCCATAAATGTAAAACGATAACTCAACGGGACAAAGATTTCTACAACCTGTTATGATCACCATGAATATTCATTAATGTAAAATGCAATTATTAGGATACCGACAAGGACTTTAGCAGCTGCATTATCAATATGCAGAGACTTTAAGATGGTGGCACCATCATTTGTAACAGTGACCACATGTCCTCTTCCTGTTGATTGGAGAATTTTATCCTGTCCAAATATATTCGAAAGAAAGTAACTAACACAAGGAGGAAAATGAAAATTAATGGTATAAACACATGCATCTATTAGTTGGAAACACATGAAAGTAAAAGAAACTCACCATTCCCTTTGGCCCTAAGGTTGTCTTGACCAAGTCAGCAATTGCCATTGCACCCACAAATGACGCCTAAAACAATACAGATTATAGATAAGTTCAAATAGGGATAAGTCAACTTCTATCCATAGTCATTTGAAATTCAAATCAACAAAACGAGATTGAATGTGCCTAACGTACACTGCCTGTACTTAAAATTGAGCAATATTCAACTTAGTTGGGACAGTCGCAAATCTCAAAAGGGCATGGGAACAAATTTTTTTTTAATTGGAAAAGGGGAACACAAGTAATTAAATGCCAAACAGAAGATTCACTCCAATATTTGATTTGTACACACAAAATAAAACAAAAGGAGATCTTGTACGATGGCCACTCGTATGTTTAAGGTGTAATGCTTCATTCTTCCCAAAGGAATTTGAAAGGTCAAAAGAATGTAAAGAAATAATGAGTAATACTTACTCAAACCCAAGGGATCGAGAAAATGTGAATAAAAGATATGCTTCTAGTCAATAATTTTATCCCATCCCGATTATTATTTAACAAACATTGCCTTGCAGTGAAGTAAAATCTTGCAATCTAAGCATGTACATATGTTTTAAAGAATAAACTGTCAGTCTCTCTCAGAAAAGCAACATTTTGTTTACTCTCCTGTGTGTCTGTTCTGGAATGTCCCTTGAACAAAGACATGAAAGGGGGGAAAATAACTGCAAGTGTTACAAGCAATTTTGTGCACTTAAATTAATACCGCAGAAAGAAGAAAACTCACCAGTCTAGCCCGCTCTCCTTTCTCCTCACTAGCTTCATCTTTGAAAATTCTCTCGACCTATATTCACCAATCCAAATCAAATAAAAATAATTCCGATAATAAAACGTCAAAAAACAACACCCTGTATTGAATATTTATTAAACATTCACATACCGCCATGGAATAGATGTCAGATGACTTTAGCTGAAACCTGCAAGATCGCACAAATATAAAGTTTACAAAATGGAAAGAAAAAAAATGCGTTTAGCCAAACACAGAAGTCATGAACCAATTATAATGGCATAACCCTATATCATATAACAAAGAAGCAACATTTCGGCCATTTTCCCGTTACTTTTCACTTATTCTCCAGAGAACCAGAAAGAGAGAAGAGAGGAAAGCTGAAGTAAAGAAAAACTAAAGTAAAACCCTAAACCTCTAAATCTTAGGAACCCTATATCATGACC